GTTTGGAACTAGATGGTCTTTAAGGTCCCTTCCAACCCAAACCATTCTATGATTCTATGATTCTATAAAGTTAACTAGCCAAAAACCCCCTCAGAAATCAAATCTTTATTAATATAACTTCTTCATCTGAAGACCCTCAATAAGGTAATATTCATGAAATAATACAATTGATAAACAGGTTTCCTTCTAAAACAAGAGCTATTAATCACAAAGTCCTACACTCCAAGACAAAAACAAGTAAGAATCAGGAAATGAGTCATGCTTAGTACAAGCATCAAGCCTCCAACATCCAACCAACTGAAAGCAGAACAGCTATGTACTTAGAAGCTTACTGAGTGATTACAGTTATTAGACAAGTACAATATATGTGTATTAACTTTATTGTGACTGACTGCAAAAAGCTGAGCATTTCAGAGGCACTTTATAAACAGTTATTACATTTAATTAGTTATTTCCTGACTTCTACAGTGCTGTCCTTAAAATACTTATTTTTGCATTAAATAATCAACTCATCCATTACAGAACGCAGCCAACTGCAGGGAGAAAAGCAACACATGTTTATCAGTTAATGAAAACAGTGTGGCAATGAGGACAAAAAAAGGAGTCTAAAGAATCAAACCCTAACCAGATTCACCAAGTACCACTGCACCATCAGTGATCAGATATGGTCTCAGTTCTCTCCTTATGCACTATCCCAAGCTGCTGCTTCAGCAACACTGGCAGGATGCTGAGCACAGGCAAGCTCCGAGTGCTGCATATTGTTCCACCAAAACAGCTGTCAGCTATCATGAAAACAGTGCTCTTAATTTTCCTTAGAAGTTGATACAGCTACAAGTGACACTTCAAAATTAATAAGGATTATATTTTGAAAGACATATCCAGCGTGCAAACTAATGTTAATTGTAATTATCTTACGGTGTATGTCAACTTACGTATGTGTAGTCACACCACAGCACTCAATTGCCCGCTTGATTGCGGTGGGGAGGGAAAACACACTATTTCTAAGTACTCTGCGTCATCATGATCAGTGTTAGTCAGCACAAGTAACAGACATGAAAGAGAAAACAACGAAATCTACCTCTGGACTGTGAGTCTTCTGAGTTGGTGGTTGGTCTTCATGTGATATTTCAACCAAGTGGTTCTTTAAGAATTGTTTCAACTTTTCAATTTCTTGCTCACATTCTTCTGTTTTCATTACAGCTTCCTGTGAAACAGTAATCCTCATAAATAATTTTGAATTAAGCAGTACAGAAACAAACCAGTCAGTAACACAAGCTTGTACTGAAGAGTACTGAAGCCTCCTCTGCATCTGTATTTACAAGTTCTGTTAACTCTGCACAACCCCATCCACAGTAAGTTTATTATTCACTTGCTAAAGACAAAGACACTGCTCTATCCGTTCATCGAAGTATGGTGGGAGTATTCTGCCTGGGAGCAGAATCTTGCTTACTCCAGTGTAGAGCTACAAATTTGGCTATAAAATGAGAATGGAGCATATTTAATCACATTAGCTATATTTAGAACAGGTTGAGAAAATAAGAGAAACTGGTTTCATATCAGGTTAGAAAGCCTACCTGGGTTTTACTGGTGCTCAGGTCTTTACTGCCAGCTAGTTCTGCACTCACCAAAAATGAGCTGTGCTGCACACCAGGGACACACTGCAGCTCAGAGGATAAGCCAACCACAGTACCTGACAATTTGAATATTTCCTATAAAATTGCTAAGTATTTCCACCCTGTGTGAGCTTCCTCCTCTTACATGACTTATAGGGAAACATATGATGTATGTTTTAGACAACCAAAATCACTTTTACTCCTTTGACCATGACAGTAAAATCTCATCAAGCCTCCTGCTTTAAGTTCATGCAGAAATGGGCATTCTCGCCACACACACTGCTCATGTTTGTCAGCCACAGCCTGTCATGTCGTCTCAGGTAATTAAGAGATTTGTTACCTCTACAAATCTGAATATTTTGCGTACACATTTAATTCACAGAACACTGGGTGGATCAGTGTTTTTTAAGCCATGGGCTGAGAACCAAAGAATACCTAACGACTGCTCCTCAGGTGTCTGCAGAAGTTAAGGAAGAAATGAAGCCTACTATCAACAGCCTTGAACTTACTCTGCTGACAGCAGCCCCTGAACAGCCTGACAGGTCGAAAAATCTCCTTGCAAAGCATGCACAGACTATGTCTTTCAGAGCAAAGAGCCTCTCTATGAACAGTAACAGTGCCATTTCTTCAGTCACTTCATCTCAATAGCACTCTGTCCCCATAAAACACAAACTAGTAAGGCTCTATTTTTTTTTTTTACTTACAGGTTTTAAAAAAAGGTAGAAAAAACTATTTTTGCCACTTAAAAAAAAAAGCCAAACTGTAGAGTAAGATATTAATTTCCATGCCACAGCTAAAGAATCAGAGGAAAAAAAAATTAGTATGTCTTCTCCTGCTCAGTTTTAATGAGAAACTAAAACAGAGTTGTTTGGTTAGTTTCCTTCTAGAAGAGAGATTTTCTTACCCATACCTTCACTTCCACATGAATAGGACTGTTTAGGAATAAGTAAAGTGCTCACTACCTCAAATTTCCTTGACTAAATAAAGAATATGAATAGTCTAGACTCCAAGGTCTTCTGTCACAGGCCAGTAAGTGAATCTGCACTTGCCTGAAGGTACCTCATCTGTCCCCAGTCTTCTGCTGAGGGGCAAAGAAATCTTATTTTATCCTTTTCCTAATATAACTTAAATTATGCCACATATGTGGGACTGAATCTCATTCTAGAGGTGTTGCCTCTCTTTGAGCTATTTCCTGCTTAACATTTGCTCTTTACTTTTCATATTGTAGTAATACTAGAAGATCTATCCATGGAAAAAGCCCACCTGCCCACAGTGTACATGCAGGCAGGCACTGTGTTTGTTATGGAAGAGCTCACTAAAAATGAGCACAGTACATTATCAAATATGCAAATACTGCCACTGTCTTGCACAGAAAACCGGTAGAAGCAGCTGCGGCTTCCAGCTCCTCTTCCTGATGACGTTAATTTAGGACGTGATAGGCGCGGTACTTGACAGGCCATAATAAAAAACCGAGGGCATGCTTCAACACAGATCTAAATCACCTAAAATCTTGCCCCAAAGCATTTACACTACCTTTTACAGCTTTTGTTTCTGTTACACTTTTTCAGGTGTTACACTGCAACTTAATTATACAAAAACTACCAGTGCAATATCCTCTTGCATCATAGGTAGCGAAATATGGGTAAACACATCCAAACACTAACATTTTGCAACTAATCCTCAGGAAAAAATAACTATGTATATACTTGTACAGGAAGCTTGCCTCCCATTTGGCTTTTCTCTGTACCAGGGTATTTCCTACCTTTCCAATGCAGTACTCAAAGTGCCACCCTTTAATAGCTTTATTCTTTGTTATGTCTTAGCTGGTGCTAGACTTGTACTGTAGTACCGCTGCTTTCAAGCCATCCAACAGGACTGGAAAATCTTTTCTGCACAGTTTGCTACCCTAGCTGCCAAGGACTGCTGTTTCTTCAATCTGCTTTCTCACAAAGAAATTTCACTCAGCTACAGATTGTTGGATGCCTATAAGATAAAGGCAAATGCTGAGTAAAAAAGGCTTCAGCTATTTCAAAAAGGAGAAAAATCTAAACCTTGACCTAATACTCCACATAAACCACTTAGAAGCCTCATGATAACACTTTATAGCTGCAAAGTACCCTGTTTCTGACAGTGTTAAAGTGTTCTGAAAATTCTTGAGTATTTAATCTGGTAACTCTCTGAAGAATGCACGTTTTATCACATTGATTTTGCAGACATAAATTGTATGGGCCTCAAAAAAGATCGTAGGGATCATACAGATCTCACATAGTCATTGCTTTTTTCCAAACTCCAAGCATGCATGATTTTTTCTCTTGGTGTGGTGCTCTTAATGTTACAAACAGAAAATCAAAGATGGACATTCACATTTTAGCTGCCGCTTTTGCGTCTCTGCTCAGCCTCTGAAATGCCCAGTAAGAAGTTAAATGTTCTAACGCATTCTGCTTTACTGTAATAGGTTTGGAAAACCAAATCAGCAAAGATAGTGTATCATTTTCTAGGTGCTGCTATCATCCTGCTGAGAAATAACTGGGTCACATGAGAATTTTCATACCTCTGCTGACGTAGGAGCATGCATAACCAAACTCCAGATTGCCTCCAAGTATATCTACCCTGAGCAATGGAGTGTGATGCAGATATCCCTGAATTAAAAACTTCCTCAGCTGGCCCAACCACATCGCTCAGTGAAGTGCTGCAGAGAGACTACTTCAGGTGTGGAGCCAGCATAGCTGTTTCATAACTCATACTGCCCACGAGTTAATGTTCCCTGACCCCGCTGGTACAGCCTTCTCCTACAGCTGTGTGTCACAGCGAAGCTGTTACATCACTTCCGTTTCCAAACCTGGTCTGGCCAGCATCATGTCCATGCCCCTGTCACATGTTCATTTACAGACATCCTTACACGGGAGCTTCTGAGGGCAGGAGTTGGCCTGCCTCAAAACAATGAATTAATGAAGTGAGAGCGATAGAAAGTGGTCACTTCCCTGGCTCAATGGTTTGAGAAGATATCTTTAATAAAAGACTTTCTGCTATTACTTGCCAGCCATTTCTATCTAATGGCTGTCAACAAAGAATTCCCATGTTCAAGATAAGTTTAAGGACTGGAACATTGCAGATGTGAGCACCTGCATATGACACTGGACTTCAGTCACCAGCTGTGCAAACCTGGGTTGTAAGACACTTGGGCTTTCGTTTCTTCTAAAATATGCTAAAACACATGGTGTCAGTTGTGACTGAACTAGAAAACTGAAATGAATTTCAACACTATCCAGTGTGCCTTGTTGTAGTATCAATTTACACAGGAGAAAAACAGAACAAAAATATCCCCAAACCACTACGCAGAAGACACAGTATATGTACTATAAGCTTATAAACCCAGTATTGCCTAGTGATCAAAATTATTATAAAATGAAGGTGGTTTAGGTGACAGTAAAATAAAAAGGAAAAAACAAAAAAAATCAATTACCTCCAGTAGGTCATTTTGTTCCTTAGTAATTTTTTCTAATTGCTTCAATTCTCTCAAAAGTTGTCTTGCTCTTTGGAAGACTGAGAAAGGTTGCATTTTCACCCCTGGTAGCTGAAGTGCTTCTTCGTAGGACTGTATATGAACAAGGGTTTTCTGCATGGACCCAACATGGCCAAGTATAACCTATTAGTATACAGGACAGATGAAGGATGTGATATTGAGTTGGAAAAATAAACACTAAAAATTTATACCGCTGTCATAATATGCAAAAGTTCTCTTTAGTGAATTTTCCATTTAAGAAGGAAGAGTATTTTAATCTTGGAACAAATAAGTGAAAATCCATGATGAAGTGTCTAAAGCAAGAAGAAGGTAAGTTACATTTACAATTCTGCTTTTTCCGTACATATTCACATAAAGTTCGCACAGTGAGAAAAAAATGGTCACATTCAGATTATTTATTATTTACTATGCGTGTCATTTCAAAGTAGCACACCTTGGGCAATGAAGACAGTTAAAAATCTGATGCAAATCCTTTGATGTCACTCTCGCCAACTCTGCTTTTTCTTTTTTGTGCTGCAAACCAGCCGTGGAATGTCCTATGTTAAAGCTAGCCATTTTATGATGGTCCTATAACCTGTCTTATCCACATAGCGGAGATGATGAACTGGCATGGAAGTCAGGAGAAACCTCTGAAGATGGGTTTCCTGACAAAGACAGCATTTCCTATCACAGTTTACAATCACCTTTATCAGTTTTGGAAGAACAGAAATGTGCAGTTTCATACCACCACACATGTTTTGTGGAAGACTCAGTGATCAACTTGGGAAAGACAGAATGACAATACCAAGTCACAACTCCTTGGTTCTCCTGAAGAAATATGAAATACTACTGAGACCTCATTCAGCTGGGAACTTCAGAAGGAAAAAATAAATAAATACAAAATTACCTCTGGGCCTTTTAATTACTAGTAATTTTGTTAAATTCCTTCTCAAGAAGATTTCATTATAAAAGGCCTCGATCTAAGTAGAGATGCTTAGTCTCGCATTCATAAGCAGCCTGTATCAGAATGGTTTTTGCTATTAGCATACTACCCAGGCTCCAATTTAAAATAAGGAAGTAGGTGACCATTATTTTCCAGAAGAAATATTCATTTAGTTTTTCTATATAATGTAGCCATTACAAAATCGTTCTCTGGATAACAAGCTATGAGAGGTACAATGACGTTTTTATCCCTCCCCTGAAACACAACTCATGCTTTTTGCATTTCAGTCAGCTCACAGTGCCGACTGCACGAGGTGTAAAAGAAAAGATACCATAATGCTTTGCTTTACTTCACCTAACCAGAGAAAGGAAAACCATCTGGCCAAGGGATCTGTCCAGTGAAGTCCTTACATGATGAAATGGTTTTATGGTAAATCACTCCAACGTACACTTCCAGAAGCATCTGCTAAATTTTGCCTCTATTTTTGGACAAATAGGGCCTGGTTTCCAGACTTTCAATTACTTACCATTTGATGCTACGTGGAGTGATATGCAGAAAGTGTCTCTGAAAGTCAAGCCATAAACTTTCAAAAAATGAAGACACTCAAATACAGCAGGTTTGTCTGACAACGTGTGCTTGTCACATACTCGAGTTCTCTACAGGCATATTCTCAAAGGTGCTTTAATTTCAAATGTTTTTGTTCAAGCCATGACTGTACTTCTCGAAGGATCTCCCGACAGTTATACCTGAGGGTTTATATTGTGCAGTTGTCTTGGAGCATGCAAACTGGATTCCTTTCAAATGAAATGAAAGCAGAAGATACTGTCCAGAAGAGCTCCTGAAGACACCCAGCCATTAATGGATGTCTGTTCTACAGGATCAGTCCAAAGTAAGTCCCCAAGACATATACAATACAGACATCAGATCCTCTGCACCAACTGTTTTGCTTTACCAATGTGCTCCTCTCAGCTTGCAGTACTTGCTACTGTAGAGACATGTAGCCAAAATCATGACTGAAAGAATACTTTCAATCTTTGACCTGAGAGTTAAAATTTGTGTGATACTAAGATTTCAAAGTTATATACTAGAAACTTGTTCATGGTAGTTTGCAGACACAAGCCAGCATTACGCTTTTGAAAGCATATTTATGCTAACATGCATATGTAGGGGAAAAAATCCTATATAGGAGTTTTCACAGACCTGTCCATGTTTTAGTTGGTCTTTAGGAGAAAATTCTAACAGATCTTCTGATGACAGTATTGTCTTCATTTTGGCAATGTCCTTCTCAAACGTTTTCACATGAGATTCAATGGCATCCAATTCCTAGATATGGGGAACAAAGAGAATATTTGTAGATAGTATAAATACCAAAGCCAGCTTGCATTTCTGCCATTCACTTAACTTTAAAAAGAATTACTGAAAAACAAGTGCAGCATATGCAGAATATGTTAATGGATGCTACCAATCCAAAGGCTAGTTGTTACAAATTACATATCATCATAACTTCTAAGGTCACCTGGTCTGTTTTAAACCCTGAATATGGAGTTGAAATATCACATTGAGAAGTCACATTATAAATTACCAGCAGTGACAAGACACTTTTCCAGTGGTGACAGTTATCAGCATAGGAAGCTGATCTAATTACACTGCTGCAGCTTCCTATATGAAGAGTCTTACGTCAGATGGAAAATGGATCCACATACAGTACAGGTGCTTGTGAACTCTCACGGAGACAGAATCACTGAATAAATTAGGTCCTCCTAAACAAGGAGTTTCATCCATATTCTTGAACTTCACAGCTTAATTAGATGCCAAATATCTTCTGATGGTTTCTTTCCAAACAATTTCCCTGCTTAGCACACTTACTAAAACCAGCACGCCTTTTTTCTATGCAGGCAGTGTAAGCTGTTTTTAATAACATACGATGAGGCTCTGACAAAAGGCAATTATAGGTCACCCAAACTTACATCAGCCACATGCTGGATCTGTGGAAGAATCTCTGCTATCTGATGCTGTAAAGCTGCTACTTGATCATCTATTTCATTTAGCTGTTGCATTACACTGTCTGTTTCAAAGACTGGTGTCAGCTCCTCCAGCTCCAAGCAGACACTGTGTAGAAGATTCTGCTTTTGCTCGCAGTCTTCCAAAGCCATCTGGAAACAAAATAAGAGCTTAGGCTGATCCATCAATGGTGAACATGAAAGTTTCACAGAGGTAAGGATCAGAAGGAATCAGTTTTAGTTTCATGTATGTCACTGACCACTGCATATATTCCTAAAAGCCTAGTTCAAACCAAACTATTTCACTCCTAAGGGAACCAAACTGCTGCATCCTGCAGGCTAAAAACTGACAGACTGATGCCGTGATTTTAAAGGAAACAATTAGACAAAATAAGTCTACATGAGCATGACAGAAAGCATGAAGAGGAAGATTTCAAACTCAGAGAGAGGTCCCGTTCCAAAAAAAGAGAAGTATGAGATCCTGGAGAAGATTCCTCTCCAGCTCCTGTGACATGGTCGGGCTGACCTCAAATACATGAACAAGACATGTCAGCCAGACATCTGAAAGGGGTTTTCTGCACACCAGCCTGCAGACAGCAGGTGTAACAAAATGCTCCAGAAAACATCCAGCCAGTTGAGCTTGATGAGAAGATTCTTCCCATCTCCTGCAGCTAACTGGATGAGCTTATGGATTAATTACAGCAAAGGTCTTAATGAGGAACAGTAAGGGTTGAACAAAATGCATGTGATCCACTGAAGGAAAGGCCTGAACGCGTGTCTCTGCTCCAATGCAAGCCTTGGCTGCATTTCCAATCCACTAGTTTCCCAGCCCAGAACACATAAAACACTCCAAATCACAAATGCAGAAGACAATCAGCTTTCGTCACAAAAACTATTACAGATTTCCGAAATCAAAATCTCGCCATTGTGGCTATGTGCTCTGTAAGATATCAGCCCAACAGTCAGCTACTCCTGGTAAGGAACTTGTATTAGTTTTAATAGAAAAATCTGTGTTCAGAGCACAACTTTCTGTCTTGGCCTAAACCAAGGAGTAGATGTATAGAAAACTTGAATTTCAAATATGAAACTACCAGAAATTCTCTTGGTGCTTGCCTGGCCCTATCTTCCTTGTAATACTACAGACATTTGATTCTTGGAATTATCAGTCAGAATTACCTTCAAGATACAGTTGAGAACTGCCTTCCAAACCACAATTCACTTCAAAGTTTCCATCTAACACACACACCAAAATACCACTTCTCTTTTTGGATCACATACACACAATACAGAAAGAACTGTATATATTTAGGCAGTAAAAACTGATTATAGCCACCACACGTTTTTGGAAGAGAGATGTACTACAGTTCAGCACTTTCGCAAGACAGGTATGTCAAAACCAGAAAGTATCTATAGTCCATGAGTGTCAACTACAACTGTTTTTCACTGGAAGGATTTACTGAAAATGTTATTTACATCAGTAAGAATGCAAAATTGTGTCTGTATAGAGCAACCAGTTCTAAGACGACCATAGTATCTGCTTTAACACTTACCTGAAGGTCATCAGTACGTTTGCGTAAGCTTTTTGCAGAGTCATTTTGACCATCTGGTCTTAGCAAGCAGTTGGTGTTTTCTATCCAAACTTGCATATTCTTCAAGAGGTCATCATATTCTTCCACCTTGTTGGCAGCCTAGGAAATCACAGGATTTTACAAAGAGGCACAAATGCATTTCTATTCTATTCACTGTATTGGATAAATGCATCTATGGACAAAATTAAAAGAAAATGGGATGCATTTTCATCAAGGCCAGTTAAATTTGGTATGGTGAAATAAAGATCGTATTTTTTCTGAATCATTTTTGTGGTTTCAGGTTATATCCTCTAATCAAAGGTAATTTTGGTGCTTACCTGCTGACATTTCACGGGGGCATTGTTGTGGTTTATATGGCAATGTCACTTAAACAGACAGCCCATCAGCAGTCATAGAGAACCATCTCATCAGCCATTCAGGGGCATGAATTCCCCATGCTAAGCCCCATCAACATGGTTCAGAGCTGTGGGAACCTCCTTAGGGTAGCAGCTGGGGGTGATGTTTGCCACTCCAGAAACTCTTAGCCACAACAAGCCTACGCACCCACAGCAGGGTTTGACTCTTTATTCATTTGACAACCTCTGATGACTGTTTATGCAAAGCCTTTTTTCTTTTTTTTTAAAGAGGTGATTTATTTTTTTTTCAATTTTACATTTGCATCTACCTTGTTTAAAATGGCAGTTCTGCGCTCGGCAAGTTGGGAGACCTGTTGGTACTGCTGACGGGGGATCACTAAAATGTCCATCAACTCTTGGGCATGGCAGGAATCCTGCTCTACTATATCATGTACTTCTGCATCCAGTTCATTGAGTTTGTAATGCCAAAGGTCCAGCATATCCCAGATTTGCTGCATGTGGAGAGAGGGGAGATGAAATATAAGGTCAGGCTCAGAGATAATAGCAGTTATTTGGTATTCATGTGGGGCATGTGGAATTGCAAAGATTTTGGAACTAATAGGATGGGAACAGAACATTCTGCATCTAGCAGTGTAATTCACAGTTGAAAAAAACCCACGTATTTTCCTGTGAGAAAGAATCGGTAAATATTCAGCAGCTAAATGCTTGCTTGTACTTCTCCTTTTACAGACAGAAAATGAATGGAAGGCCACCTTATGTTCCTGCAAAACTAGGCTCTGTAGAAACAACCAAAGACCTTTTAACACGCACAAAATATTTTGGGTACGATTACCTTCTGAACTTCTTTGGCTTTTGCAATGTTTTCACTCTTCTGTTGTAACATCTTTTCAATAGCTTGAAGGCCATTGATAATCGTTTCTGCTTTGCTTTTCAGCACATACTGAGGAGAGCTCTGCAAGATTTCCAAGCTAACCTGTCAGCGTAAAGAGAAAACGATAGGGGAGATTACAAAGGTCTGCCCGTTTCTGTGCACCACCGCACCAAAAAATACTCAAATTCTTGTTATGTTTCTCTTGACAAGTATCTTAAAAACACAGGAATGGAATTATGTTTGCAGGGAGAAGCATTAACATGAGCGAGTTCAATGTTTACATGTTTTTCAATAGTTTCCTCTCTCTTAAAAAGGACCGGTGAAGAAAGGCCATCCCGGAAGAAACAAACAGTAAGATGCTGCAACTCTTTGTGTGCTTTGCTTCAGCTGCCCCTGTTCCAATCTGTAACAGAGGCTAATCAGGATGCATTGTGGAGAGGGTCACACTTACATTTGTGCTGTAAGAAACCTAGAATGACACCTTTATGTCTCAGCTGAGAGCTACTAGTTCCATGTAAGAAATACAAGAATATGGAAGTGCACCAATATATAGTGAATTTCTAGATATAAATTTAGAGATTTATTACTAAAATAAAAGGCTCAGAGCCCCATAAAGTATGTTGAGCTTAATTTTACTCTGCAGAACTCCACAGAAATGAAAAATGTAGCCTGATTTTCTACATAAAGAGAAAACCCCTCAAGTAAGCTGAAGTTGACTAATTGCCTGCGCACAGAACTGAGCGACACAGTAGGGCACCAGGTGCCATAGACGAGATGAAGACAGGGAGTGAGAAGGTCCTCGCTCTTAGCCCAAAGTGATGTCTCTTCTTACGAAGCCCTAGTAGCTGTTAAAGGTCAGCCAGGCACCAGGAAACTGTTAAATTATGGTAAATTCTGCGTGTGCTGCAGCCCTAGGATTTACGGGGCATGTGAACACTGAACAGCTTTATGCTGCATTGATGTGAAAGATTTCTAGTTCAGTAGTTATTCTGCCTTGAAGCTCTTTATACTGAAATACTTTATCCTTTTTGCAGGAAGAGGAATTAAGAGAATTATTGAGTTAATAAATTATTTATCCATTTTTATTTCTTCATTTTATTAACATTATAAATAATAGGCTTCAACATGTAGTGTCAGACCAATCTAATAATACCCATATTAAGGTACTGCATTGATAAAATTGCATTATTCAAAATAAATACATAGCAAAAAGCACTACTGTGCTCCTCTCAAATACTCATACAAAGAAAGTACGAAGTTCAGTCTGCACATAGTGCCTACCACTCCTTGGAAAAAGGAACTCAGACTATAATCACTAAACACTTGACCACTGCTACTACCCTGGAGTATCCCAGACATGAACAATTACTGATGTGTGTAGTGCTAGTTTCCAAAATAGAAAAGAACTGTGTATGACTGATGTGATACAGTTGGAAATGAGAAAGCAGACTAAGCACTGACTTCATTACCTTTCCTCAGAAAAAACGCTGCATCTGTCAATGCTCTGGTCATCAGTAGGGCAGGATTTTAATTTCAAGACTTCTTGCTGGGATAAATTTCTAATATTTTTTATATAGAATGCATGGCATCAATAGTACAGTTTCTTTTTGAGAGAAACACTAGTTTCGTGTCTTTACAAAAGAAGCCTGTGCATACCCAGGCTCAGGACAAGGAACAAAAGAAACCTGTGTGAACTCAGACTTAAGAAGGAATGTGAAACTACGTGGTCTCTTGAATGTGTAAATTACTTGAACATCCTATGCCCCAAATATGTTAAATGTATTAACTACCTGAATACCTGGAAATCTAAAGAATGTTTTTGTCTTGAAATTCTCAGGCAGATTGGGAGGTCTGTACACTCAGAGTACCTCAGCCAATGGGGAAATGAGGAGGGTCTCTTGCGGCCGGGAAAAGTAGGATAAAAGAGGGCTGCGTCCCTCTGTAGGTTGAGAGACCCCACAGGAATATGTCCCGTGGACTCTCCCTTTATTCGAAAAAAGTTACGTATTAATTTTTTTTTACAGGACTCCTGTCTCCTTTGTGAACACTGACTCCTGGCAGCGTGATTTTTCGTTACATTACCATTTTTAGATTAGCAGATTTAGAAGAAAGCAGAATTCCATTTGCATATGACAAATTAGTTCAATTTAACACATGCTGCTATCTCCTAGTATGTAATCAAACTGGTCTCCAGTTTCACTAGGATTTGTTTTGTTTCCTAAATATATTTTAAAAATTCCAAGACAGTTTATATTGTTTTCTACTACCTAAATGTGAAAAGCAAATGTTACCTAGTTTCCAGGACCAGTTCTTTCACTCCAACATGTAATGTGTGCACTGGGATAATCTTTCATCTCAGTAAATGAAACAGTAAGCAACAAAAAAACCCCAAAGCATAAATACTGTTTTACTTCCCTTCTCCTCCTCTCTCTTACCCAGCTGTTCGTTCTAAGAAGACTGGTTCCAGTTTGAAACAGGAACCCCAAGTCAACCAAATTAAAACTAATAAGCTGTAATGAATATGTCTCGAAATACTTAATGCAACATAAAATGAATGAATAATCTGACAGACACCAACAAGTAACTGGAATTCAAAATTGTTTCATTAAACTTTCAATTTTTATCAAATTAACTGAGATTTAGCCCTTAAAATTAGTATTAAACACTATTATTCTGAAATAAGAGAACAGAAAGATCTTTTTCTTTTTAAAAGTAATACAAATGAATAAATAACAAGGATAATAATTATATCAGGCTAAAATCTGACCCCAAACTTAAAGTATTACTCCACTTTCCTTTAATTTTGCTTCCAGTTAACTGTTTTATACCTGCTGTAGATAGAAAACACTGCAAAAATCCAGGGCAGTGTTATTTAGTTATTTAAATTCCCTGCCTCCTTTTAAAGGAATGCACCCATGTCCCAAGGGTATAAAGAACCATGCCACGTTTGCACCCTACCACGTGTGCAAATCAGGTTAAAAAAATAATTTCAAACTCCTGTTAACTCAGTTTTGAAAATGTCTTCTCAGTTAAGCCACACAAACTTCTCAATCAACTTCCACTACTAGTTCAGTTTAAGAATCAGAATGAATAGAAGACAGAATCCATACCACATCCAAGACTCTGTTGGTAGTAGTTCTGCCATGTCCTCTTTCAACGGAAAAGGAAAATACTATATTCACACTGCTTACCATAACACTATTCTAAAAGCAGACAGTTAACAGGAATAATCTTTCCTCCTGCATGCATTTTCACTGAGAGGAAAATCCATATGAAAATAGCGTTTCAAGTTGAAATTCACAGTTACAACATCCATCAAGTACTGCTGTACTTATTTATACATTACAAAAAGGTAAACATGAAAATTACATCAACAGTTACCTTGTCTTCTAGGTCCTGCAATACTTTCTTGCAGTCCTCCAACTGTGTTTCAATCTCTGCAGGAACTATTGTATACATTTCAGAATACTTGATCCGGAGTTTCTCCATGATGTCCTTCAGAGTTTGACTCTCCTTAACAATCACACCCTGCACCTCCTACAGAATTAAGAACAATTTCAGCTGTTTCACCCAGCTTCTACTGAGCCCATGTGTGTGTACATACACATGTATATAGACATACATATTGTGGTTTATATTTCCTAACACCATTATGTTTTGGAGAAGTTGTTTTTGTGATATCACACCTAATTTCACTATCTCTGCAAGCAGATTAACTTTGAGAAATACTCACTCATTCAATCAAATGATGCTTTCCAATCTGTAAGACTTAATTAAACTCCATACTACTCCACGTCTGGTAACTGAGGCACCGACGTTTATTGACAGGTATAGCAACATAATCATTTAAAGTGCTCCTGTGATTAAATGTTGATCTTCATACTCTCTCTTTTGCCAAAAGCACATTTTCTCTTTGAAAGGTATTTAATAGCCAGCGTTCAGTCCTTCATTATTATAAACAACACAAAGGCCACAAAAAGCAACAGGTTTCAAGTGAAGTGCCTGCTTTCAGGCAATTACCCGGAGTGGCACAGCAGGCTCCTTTCAAAACAGTAGTTTCCAGTTCTGCATGAAGAATGTAGGTTTTACAAGATAAAAGAAACTTGAACAACTGTCTACAGCCTGTGCCCTAGAAATAAAATCTGATCTAAGTCCTTCTGCAGAAGGAATGAAGAAAGTCATTTGTTTTGAAGGTTTTCTAGAATTTCAAGTTGGAAAGTGCTGTTTGCTTGCATTATGGTTCCCTTTCCCAATGCTCAGCTGTTTAAGAAACACAAATTTTAACCCAAGTTATTGGGGAAAATGATCTAAAGCTCCTACCAGGCAACAAAAGACATTAAAATTAACATCCTTTTCTTTTTCAATCAGAAGGAATGATAATCCATTAACTCCCAGTCTTCACTTGGGAATCTTTTCCCTCACTCACAGACAGTGCACAGAAGAAATATGTAAGATTGATACATTTTCTGTCATCCCATGACAACTGGGTCTGATATTAAAAACTCAAACCACGAAAACAGCTGTGTGCCATAGAAAAAGCCGTTGTTGACACAATCTTAATTGCGCTATTTAACAACACTTACAGAAGTTTATAGATTTCCTGACTTGAATTTGAAAGAATCTGTTACATTTGTCTCCAAAACAAAGCATGCCTCTGCAAAGTGGGTTGTGTATACAAATGCACGTTTGTATTTCACAGATTATTAGCTGGAAAGCAGATGCCTGTCAAAACTGCCCAAATTTTTTTCTTAAGGGGCTAGATAATATCACTTCCCACTTCCATATTCATGTATGTTGGTGAGTTAAAACTCTGCAATCCAACTAACCTAGGTTTGCCAACTGGAAGTGAAAACAGGCCTTCCTATTCAATAAATGCAACGGAGCCCTGAATGTTGCTATATAATTAGGGATGAAATTGCCCTGCAGATTTTTGCTTACTGATGTTTGCATCAAGCAAAATTTGGGAATTTTTCAGCTGAATCTCCTCAAAAGGAACAGGCCTGCTGTGACATCCTACTACAAAGAAATCATCTGACAGGATTGCCATTAACATTTGCTTGTGCCGACTGCTGTCAGGAACAGGAACAAGGTCTAAACCCATTTTTGGGTGAGTTTTAGGTGCTCATTTGGGATGTGAGAGAGAAGAGCAGGCATCAAGCACCTGCAGTGGTAACATTTCCTCCTAGATACAAAGAACTCAGTAAAAACAGACCCAACTCTAAATTCTAATCCTAAATAATTTTAAATGAAAACCAACCCTTTCAGACAAATCCACAAGGTTTCACCACATGGGTTTTCAGAACTATGTAGTTAACATTTCTCTCCCATGCTACCCTCAAATAACAAAAATATACTGAAATGATAGAAATGTAAAGACTTGGCTGCTGCAGAATGCTAGTTGTTGCAGATTGTGGTGAGTTTGATTTCTAGAAAGCATTTAACTAGGTTAACCCCCTGATGTTGGACATCAAATACAGAGCATCTGAAGCTGCCCTGGCTAGGTACGCAGCAGGAGAAGAGGCGCAGGATGTACACTAAGCAGCCCTTCCTAAAAGGCATGTAACTGGCTGTGAATCTCTGCAATCTGGAAAGACTTCTATGGCTATGCAAACTGAACCACATAGAGGGAGAGGAACACAAACCAAGGACACGGCAGGGCCAGTCATATTCTGCTGAGCCATATTCATTCCCTTCAAGTCAATGTGCATATGAATCTACTTTGCCACTAGTTTTATTTGGAGCAAGTTCTAGCCCCTGCATAAAAAGAGAACATATTCCAAATGCCCCCACACAACAACAAAGCTGTCACCAACCTCCAGTCGTCCTGCCTTTCCAGTAGCATCTTTTAATAAGAGAGATGCAGCATTCCATAATGCATTTGTCACAGCACTTATTTCTTCAGTGACCTTGTTCCTCTCTTGAATCTCCGCTTGTACAGAATCCTTATGGTCTTGAGTCTTTTCATACAACCTATGACAGGTTTCCAGCAAGAACATATTAAGTGTAAGACTGTACACTATACAGGAGTAATCAAAAAGCATGCTTAACATAGATATTTTTTAAATACGTGGCCGCAATCAAGTTTTTCTGTATTTTAATATTGTTTTCTGTAACTAACTCTCTGTCCTTCACCGTCTCAGTTTCTTCAAAATATCTTCAGATACTGCTAAACAAAGTATTTGGTAGACCAAATCAGACAGCATGCACATTTAAACAGCAAACAGAGCTTCAGTTCTCAGAGACTGAAAACACTGGCTGAGCAGAAGATGTTTGCAGAGATTTCCATGTCAAAAAGCAGGCCTGGAGAAGGGTGAGTACAACCACAGATTTGCAAAAAATATCTGAGGCAGATTTTAAACAGTGGCTCTCACTTAGTAAGGCAAAAGTTACATTGTTGCTGAAGCACAAGGTCTGATTTTCATACGGGTGGAAGACCCACACATCTCATTCAAGTTCCACAAGAGCTTGGAGCCTCCAAAATCAACCCTCATCCCTGGATTCCTTCTACATTTGAACTCAAACTGCAGCCCACGCATGATATGGCCAGGCTCAGGTCTTGTCCCTAACCACTATCCCCCAGTGCCCGGGCTGGAGACAGGAGGTGGGTGAGACGGAGCAATGGTCTGACCCAGTAGGGCATTCACTATCATTTTAAGTGCGTTAGAGCTTTCATATATTCTTTAATACCCAATAAAATGCTGTACTTATAAGTAGTCCCATGCCTTATCTTCAATTGAAATTTCACACCACTTACTTTTTACAGCGATCCTGCATTGCCTTTATCTCACATAAGGCAGGAAGGGCAGCTTCTGCCTCGGTATTTTCAGATGTATTCAGGATGTTTCTTATTCGGTGAAGAAGTAAGAGTAAGAGGAGCTGTTGCTGGTTGATGTTTTCCTCAAATGAGTTCACAAACTCTAGTAATTCTACCAGTTCCTCTCTGGTGGCCTTTTCTCTCTCTTTAAGACTTTCTGGCTGTTCTTCCTGGAGCTTATCGAGAATTATTGTTTCTCGTTCCAGCTAAGTAAACAGCATGTCAAAATAAGAAATAAAGTGCTTTTTTATTCCATCACCTTGTTACAATATTCATTTACTCATACGCGTAACTAAGTACTGGGAATTACACAGCCAGAGAACTTGAACCTCTGAAGCGTGCCAAAACAGCTGAGTCTAACAAAGCACATAACCCCACACAGAGTTGTTCTGGGTTCAGAGAACATAAATATCTCCATCATTTTTGACTCCAGGTTCAAGAAAGGCTGGAGGTAACTGGCTGATCAGTAGATAGGAGATGATGCTCTGCACAGATCTCAGCCCTTTACATGCCATTTTACAGAAGGCCCCATCCCTACTAAGGTCTGTTGAGCAACTCACCTCTTGACTGATGAATTTCCATTCCTTCTTTAGTTCTTCACAGTTAATTTCCAGTCCTTTGGCTGCCTCAAGCAAACCCAGCCAATCTTCCCACAACACCTTTACAATCCTGCCCAATGCCTTGTCACTTCTCTTGCACAATCTCATCAGCTCTCCAGAGACCTGCCGCAGCTTCACAAGATCGTCTTCAGCCGAGTCAATGCTGGACACTAAAACCTTAAGAGAAAAATAAACAAGTAAATAAATAAAACAATATCGTCAGAAGCGTTAATGAGGCATTCAGTAACATGATTAGGATCCTCTAATAAAATGGCAATCTCTCCAGTGAGCTGGTTAAATGCAGTTGTAATGAGAGAATTCTGTTGGCTAGGACCGAGGAGGAAGATGGGGTAAATAAACAAAAAAAATGAACAGAAGAACAGCGTGCCCAGGCAATTAGGTTGTTCTTCTTTCTGGTTATTTGGAAGGGAAGAGACATGAGCAATTACAGATATAGTAATATAAGTTACAGATATATAAAATGACAAGCCTGTAATATGATGAATACCAGACGAGAAGACAGCAAAGAAGTTCATTATAGGAGAGTTCTGGTGGGGAAGCAGCAAGAGTGTCCTGGGTGGGAAAATTGGAAACTGTCTGATTTTCACTTCTGAGGGAAAACAGCAGCAAATCTGTCCTGGTCCTGCAAAGGATCAGGGATCTGAACAGACATGCAACATCATCTTAAGCACAGATAATTGATTTCTACAGCAATAAAACATACTTCAATATACATGGCCTGTTATAAACTTGGCTTTTTATAAGAATATATAAATACATTCTGTGGCTTTGCATATAGATAAATACAGCACACAGAATTAAATTTCTTTCCCCTGTGATATTATATGGTGTGCATAGCTGCATCACAGTTTTGCATGAGCTTTTCAAGTTCTTCAGAGCCTCTCTTACCTTGCTTTCTTCTAAGTGCTCCAAAGCTTCTTTATAAGACATTGGTATTTGAGACAAGGACTGTCTAAGCATCTTTTCCAGTTTGTTAAGAACACTGCACACCTTATCTTTGGTTTTTGTGTAGCTTTTGTATTTTTCAAAATACCTGCAGGAAACAATTAAAAGGCCAATTAACATTTATTGTGGTTGCTCCTCTCTCCCACCATAATGCCCACTAGAATTAAAAAATAAATAAATCCTCTGAACTAGTAGTCCTTACTGTTTTGCAAGTTATCTGCAATTAGCAAGTGTCATACACTTCACGTCTGATAGCGAAGATATTTTACAGATGCAGGTACAAATGCCACAGAGGTAAAAATGTCTTGACCTGCCTCCATCCTCCTGAGACATTCCCAAAAATGAGTTCTCAATTTGTAACACACATTCTATCTGTTCCTACGATGTGTGGTCTGTACCATTCCAGTTTCTAAATCTCATCATCTCTTTTCTATTACCAAAGCCTTTAAAGTCATCCAATTCTTTGATTCTAAAAGCAGATTTTAAGGTTATGCTCAACAGCTCAACAGAACCAGAAGCACTGGATCAAGATAATGAACAAGCAATTGAAATCCTTTCTCTCTCATACTTTTTCTGTACATGTATCTGAAGGCCTTTCAGATCTGTTTCGTACCTACATTTGAAGGAAGGAAACGATGGTCTGCATCTTGTTTGGTCTTTACTTTTTCAAGCCATCAGAATAGCCCATAGAATATCTGCACTAGGGCCCCTCAGAAAACTATTCTAAGCTGCACCAGCACTGAATTAGAGACTGTGGAAATATGCTTCCTTCCGATTCTGGCACCATATGATACTTAGCCAAGCCCCATACGTACTTTCTGGAATATACTAAAATTGATTGCATTGTAAATAATTAGCAATATGCTTATTTTCTGGTACTTTTCCTTCCATTACAGCCACACCCAAGAACAACAGAAATGCTTACAGTTCTTTCTGCTGAATTACCGGGCTCTATCAGAGCATTTATTATCAGCCCAATTTCTCATAATAAGGAACACGATCTAGGAAGATCTCTTAAACCTACCTCTGCTCATCCTCCTCCTTTCTTTGAGCCTTCTCCCTTAACGCCAAACTCTTACTGACAAGTTCCGTTAAAGTATTTTCCAGACATATTTTGTCTTCCGGTTTCATAAGGTTTTTCAGCTTGGAGTACAGATTTTCTATGTTAGCCTTTGCAGAGTTGAACTCTTCCTGCTTCCATTGTGACGTCTGACAGAACTCCTCTGAGGTACCAAGCTCTCCTGTGGCAGATGTGACTTGAGCTTCACAGTCCTCAATGAACCTGGCAGCGCTCTGAACAGCCTTTGTGTAAAGCTCACCAGTCTTACATGCCTCCTCCAGAGCACTCTGGAAGTGTTACAAAAACAAAGGAACAATGAAGAAAGACTGCTGTGCTCCTCTGGATCACCAGATGGTCTTCTCAGAATTTTACATCTGGTTGTCTTTGAGACCAATGCTCCCAGAACTGGCCTGAGGAGGTGAGGGAAGACACATGGCAAGTGTACTCTGCTATCTAGGTAGTCAGAGCAGTGCTGTAACCTGTGGATTGATTGCCCTTAACCATAGGAACAGGGGCTATGAGGGAACTGCCAATACTGGAAAAGTCCAGAGAGAAGGATGGCAGGACACAAACGCCATAAGATCCCTTATGGACATGGCAGTGTACATCCTGTTCAGACAAGGAAAGCCCAAACACTGATGCTTTGTTCTGCTCCAGGGGGTATCTCCACTACGACTTGCTAAACTGCTGCTCACTAAACCCTTTTCTTGCATGTACTGATACACAGAATGGTGTGTGACTTTACCAGCTCTTGGATTCACAAAGGGCAGAGCAACTTTGCCATTGTTCTTCCCACACAATATCCAAGCAGTGAAGATGAAGCACAGCAAACCAGGAAGTCTGGCAGCAGGACCACAAATCCATCAGGAATGTTGAGACCCACCCCCTGTAATTAGCTGCTACTTCCTATTTCCTCATTTGTAGCCACTCTTGGGCAGTCAGGGCACAGGTCTTCTTGACCAGGACACAGTTCCAGAACCCCTTTGCTATGACTGTGAACACTGTATTGGTTTCCAACATATATTTATTTACTACCTCGTTCTCCCTGTACTAAAAATGCTGTTTAGCTTAAGCAGTCCTTTTCCATCCATTAAGTCTACCTCCAGCCTAATTACATTTCTCAACTAGATTTCAACACCCTTAGCTTATCAGGTTGAGCAAATTCAGTTTTATTAATTGCCTTCAACATTCCTCATCCTTCTAACCACATCTGCTCTAGCTCGAGTGGACCTCTCCTTACAAAGGCATCAAGAATCAGGTTGATCCTGCAGCAATGCCCTTTATACTTGCGTTAAAGCCTTGGATCCCAGTTGCCTTTCCTTTGCTCACCCACCCTGAGGCCTGATCACATTGGTTCAACCTGTGCTTTATTGTCCTTGATCATTCCCAACTAGTAAGCTTTTTCTTTACAGCAGAAACAAGGAACTTCTGGTATTTTTCATCCTTCTTATGACTGAAAATTAATATAAAATCACTCCCAAGAATAATTCCGGGACAACTGCACCCAGTCGCTTCACCTCAACATTTCAACACCACCTTTTCCTTCCTCTCCATTATCTTCTTTTCTTGTGCTAATCCACACTGCTTGATTATAATCAAATACAATTCAACTAACTTATTTGTATCCTTAGTTTCTTACCACGATTCCCATCATATCCACCAATGCAGAGATGATGACAGGCTAATTCAGTTATTAGAATAAAAGTAGGATGTAAGTCATGAAAGTATAAACGCTACAGTCACAGACACCTAATCTAATTATTGGGAAACGACACATGGCTATACTTTACTTTTATTAAATATACTTACAACACGGGCAGCAATGTCTGCCTTCAGTTGTATTTCATGATCCTGCAGCATCTCTAATTTTGTTTCTGTATCAGAAGCAAGAGATTTTTCTTCTTGGTTTTCCCTCTCTTTTTCCATTATACATTTAATAGCAGAAAATTTTGCTTGCATCATAATCTGAATTGCTTCCCATCGCATCTTTTCATACTGCATTATTTTTATGTCTATCAGAAGTGGCTGCTGAAGCTCTAATTGAATACGCTCCATGACGTGGAATATATGTTCTACTTCATTCTGGATATCTTCGTTGTTTACACACTGGAGACTAGACATCAAGTTTTGAAGAAACTGATTCAATTCCTCAACATCTTTCTCCAGGCTCTTTATTTCTTTCATCTCATATTCTTTGAATGGTGTATCAAAGACCTCATTTTTGTTTATTTGATTTGCTACGTCTTGGGTTAAGTGCGAGATCTGTTGAACTGTCTGAACCAGAATCTGTACAGATAGAAGATTCTCAGCAGGAGAAGAGCCAGAGCTGTCACTTAGGATGTTAGCTTCTTTTCTTACAGTGGATGTCACAGTCTGGATTTCATTTAGCAATGTTTGAATCCTATCACATTCCCTAACAATGTTGTCAAACCGTATTATCTTCCCTTTAATTTTATTTTTAATTTTAAAAAATTTAGTTTGCAATTCATCCAGCTGCAGTGAGTCCCATTTTAGACCTACGCATTCAAAGACTTCTTTGTACTTCTTTATTTGTGACAAATTGGACTGGAAAGCTAATACTTTTTCTTCAAGTGCTTTGCATTTATCCTTCACGTTCTGCTTGGCATCTAATAATTCAACTTCTTCCAGGTTAATTTCACCATAATGTACATCATTAAGATCTTGCTGCAATGAAGTTACTCCTTCAGCAAACTCTCTGTAGACAGTTATCTTTTTTTCTACTTCGTGAAGTTTACCCTGAATCTGCCTCTGTATCTTCCTTGCTCTGTGCTTCAGACTTCTTAACTGGTCAATCAAAAACAGTTGTTCAGACAGGCTCAGTTCTCCAGCTGTGACCTGACTCTCTTTACAGTGGGATGAGATAAGCCCTTCTATTTCCTGTATGTCCTTTAAAATCTCTTTTAAAATGGCTTGTTGATTGATTAATTCTGACCATGTGCTGGTTTGGTTCCTGTCAGGCCTGGCAAGCATCTCAGCATTTTGAAGCTGACAGTGAACTTTTTCTACTTCTGCAATAAGTTTTTGCCTCTCCTCCAGTTGGAGCTCTAGGTGCTCTAATCTTTGAGCTGATTTTAAAACAAGAGCCTTGTATGAATCCCGCAATCTTTGTAAAAGGAAGGTCATAGCAGAGATCTCCTCTGGCTTCAAGCTGGGAATGATGTGCTGGAGCCCATAATCCAGTGATATAATCACAGGCTCTCTGTTTAGAATTTCTGTGCTCATAAGCTGACAACTTCTGATCTGTGATTTAACATCACTGGGGAAAAGTGCTGCTTTCTGATCAAGAGAGGACAGTGAATCTTTGACCCAGAAAATATTTTCTTTCAGCCTTTTCATCATTTCATGTTTCATAAGAGCAGGACCAGTGATCTGATCATCCTCTCGAGGAGTTTGTTGCACTGATAATGCTTCCAATTTGCTCTGCAAATCATGTATGGAGTTCTCCAAAGCTACCTTCTCTTGATCACTCCAAATTCTTTTCATCTGCAGTTCGATCCTTCTTTTTAATAGAGAAAGACCATGTTTAATGTCCTGTAGCAATGTGGTACAAAGTACAGGGTATTTGGCTTTTCCTTCAGGTAAGGAATATAAGTCTGCTTGTAAACACTGTTCTTGTATCAGTCTCTGAATATCCTGTGCTTTATTCATAAGCAGGTTAAATTCATCAATTTCTGCCACAACTTGATCATGTTTCTTTTGCACTGATTGTTCCATGTGTTGCCACCATTCCTCCAGTTGCCTCATTTGGCTTTCGGTTAACACTTTATCCATACATGTTAAATGCTGAGATAAACTTTCTTGTTGAGCTTTCAACTGGTTTAAGACATCTCTTTCTTTTCGTAAGGACTCTGTGCATGTCTTAATTTTCTCCAGAAGAACTGTGTTGTTCATAGGACCCCTGCCAAAAATATGAGTAGCATTAAAAAAATAAATCTCCTAAAACATAAATTCATTTTAAAAAAGAGAATTTCACCGTTTAGAAAATGATTCACTCACTTTATTCACTTAATCACTAAGTGCTCTCTCACAAATTTCCTAACCACCATGGCAATATCATTATTTCTTGCTTATCGGTACAGCATTAGTTATATCTAGATATCTCTGCAGGAAAGGTATATGCTAATGTATGTTCTCTAAAGCTACAGTATATACTAATAAAGAATGTGTTATCTCCTAAAGGAATGTAGCCTCCCTTCTAAGTTACAATAAAGAAGATTTTTTAAATCAACAATACTGTTACACCATCCCCAAGTGAATTAACATTTTACGGTGATTTCTCATTTACAATGAAGAAAAAACTTAGTTATAAGAAAAAACTTAAAGAATTCCCATTCAGTCAAGATTAATTTGGAGGGGTTTATTTACTCATCTTTTATTTCCAGGAGTATTTTGAAATTCCCATCTAAAATACATTTAGCAGCTAGATTTTTATTCTTTTTTTTTTTTTTCAAATCGCCTTGCTGTAACTTAATATTATTTTATATTATTTAAAAGATTTTTCAAATTATTGTCATACATTATTGTGACTGAAAGGTTAGTTCCATGTTTTGAAGGCTAATTCATAAAACGTACTAAATATTTTGTGTGCATTGGTTACCTCTGAATTGGCACTGTAGACTTATTCATTGCAATAGAAATATTCCTAAGAAATAAGGTTAATTTTCAGAGTAATGAGATATTTCACTGAGAAAAAAATTAGAACTGATAAGTCCTTAAAGAAAAATTCATATTTCACATCTGCCATATTTTTGAAAATATATTTTAACACGTTTTTTATATAGGTTTTTAGCACAAAAACCATTTCTTTGTTTTACCTAAAAAATAAAAAGAATAGATGTTGCTAAAGGATAGCAGAGAACCACCAGAAATGCTTCTGTTTAAGGCTCTTTAAATTTATAAACCCACGAGACTTCTCTTGCAACCCAACATTAACGAGATGGTTAAAACACATATCCTTGCCTAAGCATTATGGAAGTATGGCACGAAATTCAGTCTAGGACCATATTTGTTCTGCAACCTATTAACAGAAACCCTCAACTATACTTACATTTTTATGTTATCTTTTTCTGTTGACAGATTTTTCATGGAGGACTGAGCAGCTGAAAGATTTTTCTGGTACTCATTAATTAAACAGTATTGCTGTTGCTTCACTGCCTTAACATCATCTAGTTCCTGCAGCAGCCTGTCCCAGCAGGGCACCGCAGGCTCTGTGGTTTGCAGCTCTGCTACGTTTGCTCCTGTTGCGTTGGGAAACGCTTCTTGACTATGACACAAAGATTTTTCTTTCCATGCTTTCAGTTCAGTTTGTAAATTCTACAATCAAGCCCAAAACAGAGAGAGGATTAAGAGGTCTTAAACACTTCCACCTTTCAGCACAAAATACAGTTAAATGCTGATACCTCTACAAACGTGTGCTTGCTTGGTCCCATGCAGATGAGCACGCGTACCTGTGCACACCATGGAAGCACATGTGCAATCACAAGTGCATCTACTACTGCACTCTAGAAGAGCAGTACAAAATACGGTATTTACATGGACATATTTGCATTAAGGCACAGTGTTTGCAGGTCACCTGGTAGACAAACTGACTACTCATGCAGTCAAACCTTAGATAAGACTATATGCAACAATTTTGTTTTGCCCAAGTGAATCATAATTCAGTAAGTGTATCACTACATTAACAATGAGGAATGGCTTTGCAATTTCCATACCTCCAGCTCTTTTAGTTGTTCATTTATGAGCACGATATCCAGTTCAGCCACTTCATTTTTCAGCTCATTGACCTTTTGTTCCTCTTCAAAATATTCAGTGTTTACTTGCACTCCAGGAAATAGTTCCTTCTGGACAACCACTTCTGCACCTGTGTCCTACAACACAAAACAGGATTCTGACTTCTGAAGGTCCTAATCCAACAGGTTTTCTAACTACGACACTTTGCTTCACACGTTTAAGCCATACCTAAATCCTGCTGTGGCTTCCCCCACAGCCTCTGTGGGTCATCCAGGACTCAGAGCCTGAAATCTCCTTCACTACACCCCCCCTGCAGTCACCCTGGCTTGCCAGCCCTGCTCAGATAGCTATGAAATCTCTGCCCATCATTTTTAAGTTTGACATACTGATATCCCCACCTTCAAACAACATCCTCCCTGCACCCACCTCTGCTACTATAAATCCAGAGGTCTACCCTGTCTTCTCCCCCTCCCATTCATGGACCTTTAACTTCTCCTCACACCCAAATTCCCTCTGCTCAGCACCTGCCTTACACTGCTGTGTCCTCACCAGGACTCTCTCTTCAACTGTTCTTCACAAGGTGACTCATGCGTGAAGCAGCTTGGCTGTGACACAAAGCCACAGCTGCTACTGCCATAAGTGCTACCTGAAATCAGGGGTAAGGTGATAACATTAGTGAGCCATGTCTCAATCGTGGTGGGGAGGAAGGGAACGGGGGGCTTCAGAGCCAGCCCCTGCCATCAGTCCCACAATGACATAAGGAGAAATCACTTGGGGTCAAGTTTAACAGCCCATCAGCTGAGCTGAGGTAGATGCCCAAGTGGATGCTCTTAGCCAGCCCCAGTTCAGATGTAAAACAGGATCCTCTGAAGCATCTTCAGCTATTGCAGACAACAACACACATGAAATGTCAGAGGTTTATTGGGTCACATTGCAATACCTTAAAAATCTTCCTGCATTTCCCTTCACCCAGCGCCTGCCTGTATCCGGTGCAAACTATGAACTGTTCCACATACAGAGTCCATGTGAGTGAATGCACACAAATACATGGGTATGACCAGGGTGTGAGCTTCTCTAGGTACCAACACATAAAACCAGCAATGATAAAAAAATCTGGTTTGATCAACTTGCTGTATTGCTACTGTAGATACTATTTTACTAGGAAGCAGCCAGCTATCTTTGCAGTCATATCACTTGTAAGCTGTCACTGTTGTCTTGTCTCTGTGGGTCATGAGCTATCCAAAATATACCTGCTTCCAAGAGGGGGAAACAGGCAGCACACTGCAGATGCTATCGGAAAAGAATAATTCTGTTTATTTGAACTCTTTTGGTTATTTTCAGTCAAAACTGAAGAGGAGCACTCATGAAGTAGTCAATCAGATAACTTTTCCATTTCTCTGTGTACAAATCTGTAATGGTTGCATCGATTCAGACTTAAGATTTCATCTTAAGAGGCTCTGGAGTGCCAGAGAACTCAAATAAGCAGAAAAACTCAGCTAGGCTATCACAGAGTGAGGAGGAAATCCACTTTAACAGACTGAAATATAAGCACATCAAAACACACAGAAAATTAGGTGTCCTGACACTAAGAAAAACCTCGCGACCCTTGTGTACATGTTTTGCTTGTATGACATTCTCAACGTACACCACGGCGCTGCCTCCCCAGACACGCAGACGCATAGGTAGTGTCAATCTCTCCACACAATATAGTTTTAATGTTTCCTATAGTTTTTTCAGTCCATCAGATGATTGGAGAGGGAGGAAAACATGAAAAGGGAAGAGAATAGGGGTTGTTAACTGGTTACTGTCCTTCAGGTCCAAAGCTAAGGTTCCCCTGCTGACTCTTCACAGTGCAGGCCTGTGGGAAACTGCCAATCATGACTCAGGCCTCAGGCTAGGGTATAGCACACAGTCTCCATCCTTTCTTATCCAACACTTTCCTCAGGAAATCAGCAGAACCCACTTCCTTTTCCCTTTACACACTATAAATCGATGGAATACAAACACTTAAAGACCACATTTAGAAGTGAAGATCAGTCAATTTAGAACAGAACAGAATCTTTTCAATTGGAAGGGGCCTACAGTGATCATCTAGTCTAACGGCTGACCAAAAGTTAAAGCACACAGTTAAGGGCATTGTACAAAAGCCTCTTAAACACTGACAGGCTTGGGGCATCCACCTCTGCTCCCGGAAGCCTGTTCCAGTGTCTGATCCCCCTCTTGGTAAAGAAATGCTTCCAAATGTCCAGTCTAAACCTCCCCTGGTGCAGCTTTGAACTATTACCATGTGTGCTCTACCTGGATCCCAGGAAGAAGAAATCAGCACCTCCCTCTCCACTTCCCCTCCTCGGGAAGCTGCAGAGAGCAGTGAGATTGCCCCTCAGCCTCCTTTTCTCCAAACCAGATAAGCCCAAAGTCCTCAGCAGCTCCTCACAGGACACTTTCCAGCCCTTTTCCCAGATTTGTTGCCCTGTTCTGGATGCATTCAAGAACCTTCACATCCTTCTTGAATTGCAGGGCCCAGAACTGCACAGAGTGCTCAAGGTGAGGCAGCACCAACACTAAATACAGTGGGGAAAAGACTGTGTGGGATGCACCCCAGCGTGCCATTTGCCCTCTTGGCTACCAGGGCCCACTGCTGACTCATACTGAGCCTGCTGTCAACCAGCATCCCCAGATCCCTTTCTGAACTGAACCCTGAGGAACATGTTGCAGCCCCATTCACGACAACCCTTTGAGCTCTGCCCTTCAGCCAGTTCTTCACCCAGAGCACCAAGAACCTGCTCATCACACAGTTGGACAACTTGTTCAGAAGGATGATGTGAGTATCAAAAGCCGTAGTAAAATCCAGAAGAACTATACCCACCGCCTTCCCTTCATCCACGAGGCTGGTGACCTTACTGTAGAAGGATATCAAATTCCTTAAACAGGACTTTCCCTCTGTGAACCTAAGGTGACTGTGCCTCATCTGTGGCAGTTGTGTTTAATGTCCTTATCAGTGATCTGGACGAGGGGATCAAGTGCACCCTTGGTAAGTTTGCAGATGACACCAAGTTGGGCAGGAATGTTGATCTGCCTGAGGGCAGGAAGGCTCTACAGAAGGATCTGGACAGGCTGGATCGATAGGCCAAGGCCAATTGTATGAGGCATAACAAAGCCAAGTGTGGTGGACTTCACAGCATTAGGTTTTTGATTGGACTCAGTGATCTTAAAGGTCCTTTCCAACCTTCATGAATTCTGTGATTCTATGATGACTGCATTTAAATGATTTTCAGTAATACACAGCACAATCTTCTCCACAATTTTTCCAGGAACTGAGGTTAGACTAACAGGTCTGTAGTTTCCTGGGTTTTCCCTCACCCCTCTTCTTGTAAATTGGAATAACACTGGCTGTCTTCCAGTCAGCAGGGACCTCCCCAGACCCCCGAGACCTTTGGAAAATTTTGTTGGGGTTTCCAGTTACAGCAGATGTCCAAATCCCAGGTAAGACTCACCCATGGAGAGGACAGCTGTGGACCTGCCTATAGGTTTAACTGTGAAGATTAGATCTGGCCCTACCTTCAGTTTAAGAATGTGGTGACCGAGGATCAGCAGTCATGGGGCACTTGAGATGTTAACAGCCTTACTCTGAATGAAGAATAGACTAATGTAATTTAGTAATGTACTTTGTTACCCATTCAGCTTGAATCCATTCTCCTTTCTCTATTTTATTTCATTTATTTTGTTACTCTGGATCACCCCTGGATTTCAGTTTTCCAATCTACCTTCTTTATGATGGCAAAGACTATCACAGCTAATTATAGTAACAGGCAAAGAAGTTGTATTGATTAATAATTTAAAGAGAAACTCTAAATATCATAAAATAAAGACTGATTGTGATGGCTCTGAAAAATCAATATTCCTCTTCTGAACATATCCACTGAATAATATGACGTGGCTAGCACTTTGGATAAAGTTCAAAACTACCATGGACTTAAAGAAGAACTATACACAATGGTCTTGAATTTGATGTGACAGTAATTGCTGCTTCTTTTATTACAGAACTTCAGCCAAAGCCCATGTGGAAACAAAAATTCAGCGACTGTCAAATTTAGCTTGAAATAACAGAATGTGGGCTACCTCATGTGCACAAACTGGGAGATTTGTTTCCAGATCATCTTCCTCATCTGATGAGGATTTCAGGACTTGACTCTTCTGGCACACTCTTCGTTGAACCTGCTCCACATCTTCTCTATATGACTCATCCTTGACATCACTACGTTTATCCTTTTGGTGTAAGAAAAATAAAAAAGTAATCAAAAATCCCTAATCAAATCTGCTGAGTAGCAATTACAGTGCTTGAGCTGACAACATTACAAAGCCCATAATTATAGGTAGATGAGGAAAACCACAATTCCATCTCAATTTATTGTGGGCAAGGTTATGGCAAAGGAAATAATTTAGAAGCAGCAGTGCTGCAATTTTTTTATACATTTCTCAAAAAATTGCAGATTGCAAGTGTTCTTCCTCTGACCTAAACTGTTCATGTTTCGGTACTCTAAGCATGGACCTTGAACTGTGTACCCCCCAGATGCAGTCTTCAGCATTGTTTTTTTGTTTTTGTTTGTTTGTTTTTTGTTGTTTTTTTTTTAAAGGTTTAGCTTTTTCCTGAGGCTCCAATCTGGTACTGTAGGCAGAGTCTGTGGTTAGACAACCAGCCTATTACCAGGCAGGATATTCCCGTGGGCAGCCCAGGGATCTGCTCTATGCACGTGCTGAGGTATTTGCTTACAGGAAGTCCTGCCTGAGTTTGACACAGGCAGGGCACAGCATCAGGGACCTACCCGTGCTGCACAGATATGTGAGCCAGTGGCTGCAAGTCAGACAGAATAGGTACTGAAAGTAGCCCACCTGCAATTCAGAATGAACAAATTTACCCCAATTCTCAGCAAGCTTATGAAGGCACACTCTGCTCCATCTCGCCACTACTACACTGCTTTCAGCATCTCTCACAGTTTGCTAAAACCAAAGGTCTGAGAAGTGTCTGGCTGTGTCTTCTCCATAACACCCCTTCAGGGAGGGATGACAGCAAGGAGATGCCTGTAAGCCTCTTCATCTCCAACAAGAACTTAGTCCCTTCCCCCTCATTATGGCTACAGCTCTTCAGCTCTTCTTTGTCCAATTTGCTCTAATTTTGTCTAATTCCCCTTGTACCCGGGAGTGTCAAACAGGACACATCATTACAAATGCAGCCTCATACATGCACAGTAAATATGTAAATAAGAAATCTAAATAAATTAAAGAGATTCAAACAAAATAACAGTATTCAAGCAAAACGGTAAGAAGACTGCACCATACATCCAGACTTGGAATGCAATATCCTTAGCAAACCACTAATGGAAAAAGAAATCCCCTCCATACTAATTTTAAATGTACTGGAAATGATTTGGAGAGTTAACGCATGCTAAGTATACAGCACATCAGACAAAAATAGCTGTGTAACCTGAGGTTTTACTTATTTATTTGTAGTATCATCCCTACTGCAAATGAACTGTAGACATACACCCTCAGACTCAATCGCTCTTGTGTAATCTCACGTCCAGTTACCTCTGCTGAATAGGTTTCCTTTCTTGTTTCATCACCTTCAATACCAACACCATCCTGATGCCTTTCCAGTTCTGCTTCACCAACCTGGACCACATTGTCCAGAGCATCCTCCTGGACTCTATCGTGTTTGTCCATACCTGGGCTCTCTTTATCAGCTTCCCCCTGATTTGAAAAACACACAATGTTTACAACCACTAAAAAAATCACAGTCCAAAATCTAAATTTACTAAGGAACATTACACTCCACAAGCTGCCAGCTCTATCTTCACTTCTAGGCTAATGAGTGAAGGAAAAGGCTGAGGTAACCCAAATCCAGAGTCTCTTGGATACACCTGCTCAGATCAGTTTGCCGTATTGGGACCTTCATCACTCTGGAACAGTTTCAGGACAAACCGAACAGGAGTAAGTGCTCACATGACTTTCAATACCGTCATAGAAGTTTATGGTTATATGTATTTGGCAACTCTAACTATTGACCTTATCCTTCTCCAGAAATGCCACTATGGATGGTTTCCACTCCAATTTTTTTCCCATTTTGATGGTTATCTCTCTGAGCTACTGTTATCACTCAATGGTCAGGGCAATAAGGGTCTTCTCCAAATCATTCCTTCAGCTTTGCACATGTGAAGTCATTTACAGTGTGAATGTTCTGAGGTCTCCTAAAGATCAGCAGATCCAGGTTGGTGACTTCTCCTTACCTACTGTGGGTGTGCAGGTGACAAAACCCGTTGAATTCACAGGTATGTTGCAGGTTTTACATCATGGAGAAAGTGGGTCCAAGCCCTGGGGGGCTTGTAGAGATCACCACATCGATCTCTTGCACGCTTCACATGTGCAAAGCTGAGAGGATGATTTGGAGAACATAATTTATCATTCCTTCCATCGGATAAGGAAAACTAGCAAGACTAGAAGTTTTAAGTAACTATACATGTATTTCTAGTGAACAGACACACACAGAAATACACTGACATGTATTAGAATGTATTTGTCAGGCACCTGAACAGTCTGCCCCAGTCTGTCCTTGCTTTGATGGATACCCTGTAATGGGCTGTCTGACAACACACTGCTTTCCTCCAAAAGCGGATCAGTTTGCTCCTCTTTCTCTGACACATTTCCATTTACATCTTGACCCTAAGAGAAATTATATAAAAGAAAAATTGCTTGTGTGACTGTAAATATTGCATTTTAACATTAAACCTCTGAATGGCAAAAATTATCATCTACGAAAAGAAACAGGACCAATACTGTGCTGCAGTTCTAAACAAGTCTTAACTGGTTTAAGTGAAGTTCTCAAAGTTCTTTGGCAGATGTATCTGCAATTTTCTCATCTATACACCCTCTCCCTTTGTGTCCTGACCAAGGATACCTGCTCTAATCACACGCAAGAAAAAGCCATATGCAAGTTGTGCTTAAATGGAAAACTGCCGTTTTGAATAGACATTATTGGCTTGTTACAGACCTGTTAGAATAAGGGAGTTATTACAGACTTGTTATAAGTTAAGGGAGTTGTTCTTCACATCTTTGATTTATACACATATATTTTTAGAAGGCTTAATTTCAGTGTAATTCAGGGGGCAATATAGCATGCAATATACAAAGGGCATTTGAGAGATAGGTGCTTCTTCCACTGTCATGACTGCCAACAAATATACTCACATCATGCATTTCCAAAGGCTCCTTTAGCTCCACTGCCGTGGTGCTCTCTTCTGCACTGACAGGAGTATCAGAAGTGATCTGTCTGTCTCTCTTCAGCATTGTATCTGCCTTATCTTCCATCTGTATTTCATTACTAAACTCATCTTTTACCTCAAGGGTTTCACTGAGAATATTTTCCTTCTTTTGCTTGACATTCTCAAGTCTTTCTTCCAGACTCCTGTGTTCACTCTGAAGTGTTTCAATCTCATCCTTAATAAACTTGTGTCCTGGTGAAGATGTGTTCTGTTTAACAGTTTCTGCTAAAACCAAAATCTTCTTTAACGTGTCTTCGCATTGAGTAAGAGGTCCTTGTTGTTCCTTTAAACAGGAGGAAAACATTTTAGCAGAAAGGATCTTCACTCAATATACTTAATGCTAAGATCTAAAGTCAATCACTGAAATCATAAATATTTGTTGGGAACAACAAACTGTTGAAAAGTACATGCAGACCTATTTACTGCAAAAGGTCAAATACTAATCCATTAAAGTCAGTCATTTTTATGAAGACAACACTTGAAGCTATAAGCATTACAACAGTGATAAAACAATCAGATAGAACGCTGTGAGGTGCATGGTGATCTTTCCAAGTTCTGAACATATAATCCCCTCCATCTCCTATTTGTTTTTACTTGTTAGAAGTATAGCAAATTCTGGAGGAAGGGGAAATGCAGTGATCCATATCTGAGGTATGGTTTCAGCTTTCAGTAGCTCTCTATGCTCACACCTACAAGACTGTTACCCCCCTTCTGCCAAAGTGCAAAAGAATGTCTACTTATGCATGAAGGACACTTCTTAAAACTGAACTTGCCTCACTGACATTTTCCTAAGCTTTCCGCTCTAGCTAATTTAAAGACATTTAATAACACCAATTGTAACGATCTCGTTTCTCATTACGCCCAGAGAGGCAAAAAAACCCAAACCCAACCAACCAAATTGAAGAAGGCTGCATGCTCGTGCTAGGGCAATTCTACCTTCGGTTCAGCTAACAGTAGAGTTCCACTCAGTTCATTAAGAGTGGTTTTAGGCCTACAATTATCTTGATAAAAGGAATACCACAGACTTTTTATTTTAGAAAGGTTTCTTAGTTTTTCAGTTTGACACCTTTAGTAGTTCTCTTATAAACATGATGGTCCCTCCAAGCCCCCAGGGCATGGACCCACTTTCTCCATGATGCAAAACCTGCAACATACCTGTGATTTCAAGTGGTTTTGCTCAGCTGATGGTTGTTCCACTGCTGGACCTTCACAATCAGCAAGCTTCTCAGAGAGAGTTTTCAGCTCACTGCTCAGGCCTGTTACCATGTCCTGAAACTGCTGGTGCTCTTGAACATGACTTTCCAATGTCTGCACTATGGTCTAGAAACCAAAGAGTTTCCAGTATTAGTCCATCATTAGCTCAAACAAACAGAACTCATTCAGACTGTCACAGCATTTCCAAGACCTCAGAAGCACAAAACACTTGCTTGTTTCCCACAAAATACCCAGGTAACCTCAGGTGCACAACAAATATCTTGCCCTCTTCCCAGAACATTATGAACTCCATTGTTAAGCAAGTCTTCATTAGTAGCAGGAAGCAAAGAGTTTGCATTCCATGAGAATTTACTCCCTAAAGGAGATGTTTTCTATTCAAAATGGATGAAAGATTAGATGCTGAATGCCACGTAGGGTACAAATGGAGTTTACACTAACCTGGGTGGAACCTGTAACAAACAAGATGCAGGAAAAGCCATGCATCCTTCCAAAAGGAAAAAAAAAAAAATACCATGGTTTGGAGATTATAGGAACAAATGCCTCAAATTTTAACTATCCAAAACTGTTGATACACATATGCAATGTTCTTCACACTTACCTCAGTCTCATTTGTTTTAACGTTTTTTCCCCTCTGCAAAGCACAAGGAAGTGAAAAATATGAGCTTCTGGTGCTCTTTTTCCCACATTAAAAGAGAGAGAGAGTAATTCCCTGCCCTTCTGCAGAGGAACTTCCACCACTCCCAGTTTTACATATAAACTTGCCAGCTGAGCAAGACTACAGTCAAACAGTGAGAACTGCAATCAACAGGCATACCAGTAATCTCATAAGGAAAAAGACTGAGTTTCCAACCTGCAGCTGGCTGAGCAGATTTTCATGTTGATGCTTTAATTTGAACCATTCCATCTCTGTGAAGCAGGGATGCCCAGTGTGACCCTGGAGGCGATCTTCCTGGCTTTTCAATTCATTAAATTGGGAAGTTAAGTCTTCTGCTTTCTGCAGGAGGTTGACATAGTTTGTCAGCTGAGCTTGCTTCTCCTGCAAACCAGGCTGAAGGGCAAAACCTATCTCCTGTTGCTGTTTCTCCAGTCCAGTTAGAGCCAGTCTCAGATCTTCTCCGATTTGCTCATATTGCTCCTTGTTGCACTGAAGTTGCTCTTGAGGGCTAATAAAAAACACTGCGTTTAATAGTATTAATCTTACTTTTATTCATTAGCTAGAAAATGTCAAATTGTCAACACGTCAACCATTAGAGTGAACTTGAGCATACTGAATACTTTTATTCAAGTTTTAAATTACCGACCAGCTTTAGACTGGAATTTTCATGGTGATGAAAATGAAAAACACCAATGTTATTGCTGCTGAGCTGGACTTAAATGCAGGACAAGCAACTAACGCTCTTAAACTATAAACCCACAGTTTCTAGCATCTGAGACGTGATGCTCACACTCTATTTTTCTGCTTTTCATCACAGCAAAAGTTCTGATTTAAAACTACAATATGGCCATGGATCTATTTTCCTTGACCACTTCTTAAAAGAGTCTGCTGAATGTTCTGTAGAAGATACACATTGCATTGGCTGAGATGGGGGTGAGAGAGTGTTATAGCGACACAGACGATAAAGCCAGCATATGCAATACGGGTCATGTTAACACAATCCAGTGCCTACTTTCCTGACCTTGACCATGCATTTCGATTTCTGAGCTTTGTAAGCCTGCATGCTGATCTGCTGCAGGTGAGCAGGTTGCATTTGTCCGCAGGAAATATGCAACTCTGATCAGTGAAACAAGAGTAACATTTGTATGTTCACATTTAGTGATGGAGCTCAGATATTTTCCAGATGGAACTTAAATGCCAACATTTGAAAATATGATCCCACACAAGCAAATCCAAATAAAGTGTGGTTATAATTCTGTAAAGTACAGCAGGATAAATGAGGACAAAAGCAAAGCTTAAGTGTTTTGGTTTTTGCCCCTCAAGATTCATATTTTTTGGCAAATGACAAATAAAGCATAGCCTCACATATGTTAAGTACTCTTGCTTCAAGTTCCCTATTCCAGCCTTCCACTGCTGCTGTTACTGTGTCGCATCTGTTATTCCCAGGCCTCTTCCTGCAAGGTCCTGAGCGTCTCTTCACACGTGCTGAGCACCTCATCTCCTGTCTTCAGCATACTGTGAAGAGGGTGCTCTGCATTCTACTGTGTTGGATCCAATATAGCCAACGCTCTATCTTTCTGAACACCACTTTTATTGCTTGTACTGAGTGCTCAGTAATAAGAGAAGGCAACTGAATATTCTCAAAAATACTTGTTTTTAATAACTCATATCCTGGTCATTTTTTAAAAAACATACAGTAGGCCTACTCTAGCCTCAATTGATCTCAACAGCAAAGTTCCCATTGATTTTGTTGAAAGTCAGTTCAAGGACTTTATGGCAAACAAATACTTTGTAGATGTCTGCAGGTGCAAAATCACAACTTCAGGTTATGTTTACACAACATACTTGGAATCATCTGATGTGTTTTAAAGGATCAATTTAGTCCTCAGACCCAGCTGCCACAGGGCCAACAACACTAAAGTGCCTTTGCTGACTTAATGCCAGCTGCCACAGTCAAGAAACCCTCTCACAGAGCCAGAATAAACCAGGCTTTAAAAACTCTGCTTTAAAATCCCAGCCTACTGGATTTACCACAAACTCCCTTCTGAAGTAGTATGAATCTGTGTAAAGGTGGATCCCACCCCTGCTGGGGAACGATGCCTGAGGCACAAAGCCCAGGCCAAATTGCAGGGAAGGGCCACCACAGTGATTAAATCCATGCACCCTCACTTTAATGAAACAAGGAATAGTGGGTGTCCATTTGTTTGTTGTTGTTTACAAGAGTGGCTGAGCTACTTCAGTATCAAAAGGGAATCTGAGGCAAGCTGGGAGACCCCATCAGCTGTCCTGCCACCCCCCTTACACCTGGCTACACCCCACGCTTGACCATTCAATCCAAACTGTGACCTGCCCCTCCAAAACACTGCAGAGAGACAAGTTTTTTTGTAGGCATCTTGTTCTGTCCCCAGAGAATAAAAATTCAGTGCAACTGTGCAAGAAGAGAAGAAAAGCAATATAGCAGTAAGTGATCTGTACTGCCTGTTGGCAAATTCCACATTACCTTCTATATTCAGTGGCTAACTGACAGGTGCTTTCCCACTGATTCTGGAGCTCAGAAATAGTCTGCTACTTGTTTGTCTCATTGTGCATTAAAGTTTCTCCTAGAGCTACCATGTTCTGTATTTTGGCCTCTACTGCATCTCTCAGAGCTGTGATTTCCTGTATTAAACAAGAAACAGAAGCAGTACATATACAGCTATTTTTGCTTACAGAATAAAATCTATTACCGATGATTCTGTACACTGCAGTTCAACACAAAAGAATTCTCTTTCCAATGTACCACACTGAATCGTTTAGGTTGGAAAAGACCCTTAGGATCATCGAGTCCAACTGTTAGCCTAAAACTGCTAACACCACCACTACACCGTATGTGCCTAAGCACCTCGTCTACCTGCCTCTCAAATACCTCTAGAACTGATACATAAAAAGATAGATCTTCTAGTTTTAGAAAGTATGGGATAATGAAGCTGAGATTGGGCTTGTTCAGCCTGGAGGAGGCTCGGAGGAGACCTTATAGCACCTTCCAGTGCCTGAAGGGGCTACACGGAAGCTGGGGAGGACTTTTTCCCAAGGGTGACAGGACAAGGGGTAATGGGTTTAAATTGAAAGTGGGGAGGTTTAGATTAGATAACCAGGAAGAAGTTCTTCTCGGAGAGGGTGGTGAGGCACTGGAACAGGTTGCCAGAGAAGCTGTGGATGCCCCATCCCTGGAAGTGTCTTCAAGGCCAGGCTGGATGAGGCTTTGAGCAACCTGGTCTAGTGGAAGGTGTCCCTGCCCATGGCAGGGGGGTTGGAACTAGCTGATCTTTAAGGTCCCTTCCAACCCAAACCATTCTATGAGATTTATTGATATTCTCTACACAACAAAACCAATATTGTACTGATAAAATAAAAAAAATGCTCCAAATCTTAGGGAGAGATATCTGCCACAATAGTATCCCTTCTGCAGAACGAAACATGTAAATCTCAACATCCTCATTTCTGGCTACTCTATCAGAAGGCCTCCTAAGTAATCAGAGAGGAGACACCAAAGAGGACATTGAGGCCCGAGACCCACCCAGGCAGTGGAGCAGCCCAGTACCATGGCACTGGAGGACACCCAAGAAGGCACACACCGTGCAGAGGCTCTCCAGCTGTGTTACTGACCTCCCCACCTCCGCAGTGGACTGTGATGGGAAGGTGAACAGCCACCAAGACCTTCTGAGTTCTGTGCTGCTCCACGCTGAGGTGCAGCAGAGAATCTCATCTTAACGTGCATACTAAACGATGCAAAAACAACAGCAAACAACTAACCCTCCGACCCCGCCAATAGGCCACCAAACCACAGGCAATCAGCAGTGACAGTATGTTTCAAGAGGTACTGACTCATCAAGCACTTCCCTGATACTAGCGTTAGCTCTGAAGTGGAAAAGAAATACTTTTAACACAATACCTTTATCTGATTATTCCTTTGATCTGATGACAACTCACTTTCCTGTGAACTCAGCTTATTTATAGCCTCCTCGAGCTTTTTGATCCAGCAAGAAACATCCTGGGCAAGTTCTTCAAAATTTTGTTCTTCCACTGGAAGTCTCTCAGTACTCCCTGCCATTTCACTAACATGTGTTATCAGTGTCTGGTATCTACTAATAAGACCACTGGCTTCTGAAATGGTTTCATCTTCTGTCAGCCCGGCCTCCCTCAAGGAATTTGCTAGCTGAGCCATGGAGTCAAACGGTTTTCTGATAAATACAAAAAATTAATAAACATCTATATGTTGTGACAACATGGAGCAATTTCCTTTAGAATACAGTTCTTAGAGAGAAACCCAAGAAAACTGTACCTCTGCATTAATGATGTTTTATAAAAGTTTTCAAGTTTTGTCTCATCTTCTTTGATCTCATCTAGTTTTTCTTCCTGAGCAGTGAGCCATTCTCCCAAGACAGTGCTCCTTTCTCCAAGGCTGAAGAGAGTATAAACACAGACATAGGCCAAAAAGAGAGGCGTTACGTGACTAAAACCTGCTGACAGCAATGTTTTGCTGAAAATGTAACATAAATATCATGTGTCTGATCAAAGTTTTAAGCACAAGCTTAAAATTTTCTCGTGTCATGTCACTGAAACTATCCATAAGCATATGACCCCATACAACACTAAGTCTGTAAAGAAGCAAAAAAACACATGAAGCATACAACAAAATACTCACTACCCTTTATTAAAATACCACCTTGAATAAAAAGCAGGGTTGTTTGCCCTTTCTTATGGATGTTTATTAATGAATCATTTTATATCACTTTGATTAAAATGTCAGAAACTACATTCATTCCCTACCTACTGAGCTGCTGGAGAGAAGCGCCAAGTTCCTTTTCCCGTTTCTGACATTTGGAGATCAATCTTTGTAGTTCTGCTTCTTGATCTCTCACACGGCTGTTAAGGTGGCTAATGCTTGCTTTGGGCAAGTAATGCCTCACTTTATTCAATAAAGCTTTAACCTCTTGGATATCTCTATCTTTGCCTTCAGATGTTAGGAAGTGCTGAGTAAGAGCACAAAGACAAGATGCATTTGTCAAATTTGCTGTTGGACAATAGGTATCTATGTTACAACGGTTTTTCAGCTCCTGTTATCTCCACCAATATTTTCTACAGTAATTCCAGTTCTTGAAAAAGAAAATGTTAATTCACAGTTTGATGACTATTCTACTTGTAAATGGAGAAGTTGCTGCTTGTAGAATAAGGAGAAAGTGAAGTAGACGACTTGGACTTTCTTCTCTACAGCACAAATAGACACAGAAGAAACAGGCAAGCAGCATACCAATGTTGCACTGATATCACTATGTCTTCTTCTGCCACTTAACTATGTTTCTTGTAGATGTTGTGACTTTTCCATCTCTTTTCTGTTGATTCAGTCTGAGAGTGAAATTTTTTCACACTGGAGTCCGATGGGGGAAGGAATTTCATTTTACTCTGTACATCTCTGACTTTCTGCATCTTCGCAGCCTGAAGTCCTTAGTCAAAAGTCCATTGACTTTCACCAGCTACAGTCCTGTCTCTCGCTTGCCCAGCGGCGTCTGGACTTGAACACTGATACTCCCCCTTTTAACAAAGTTTTATTTTCATTCCCTAATATGCTTTAAGTTACATGAAATGTTCTTTCAGCCTCAAGTCACAAAATCACTGCAGGAAAATTCACTCCCAAGAATAGTCTCCTGTGTAAAACAGTAAAACTTCAAGAACAATCAGCTTTAGAAATTACAACATTTTCATACTTTACCTTTAGCCTCTGCAGTCTTTCTTCCAGTATCGGTTTTGTTTCTGAGGGGTCAAAGCAGTCCTTCAAAGACAGCTGAGTGCTATTCTTGCACTGACCTGAAAAAAGACACATTCCAATTTTCTTCATTAATTGTATTCTGTAGAAGAAAATCCTATTTAACATGAAGATTTCAGACAATTTGTAATTACGCTTATCAGTGCTACTGTCAAAGGTTGCTGTTCACTACAGACCGTGGGATAGAAAATGCTGCAGTTCATACTTTTTTTTACCCAACACTAATTGACAATAAACTTAGTTGTTTGCTGTGGAGGGACAGTCTGCTATGCAGAGCAGGTTCAGTAAACAAGACCTGGATTAGCCTATTGGCAACTTTTCTCATTTCTACAGAAATAAATATTACTCAAAAACTATTTGAAGATGAGACTACCTTTGGGCCTAATTCTACACCTGCACAATCCTGTGCCCGCATAAACCAAAAAGCAACTAATGACACTATTCATTCATCATAACTCAGATTAATATGACCAGGAAAAAAAATGAAAATTATTGATTTTTGTATTTTTGAATGAAATATTCTGACATTTGTCCCTGAATTACGCTTTGTATTTATCTATTTTTCAAATGTAAAAGAAAGAAAATACTTTGATTCATATTAAGTGGTTTGTTGGTAATCAAAAGCCATTTTTATCCAAATGTTTATCTTGTTCAGAATCCTGAAGCAGTTTCAGACACTGAACAAAAAACAAAACAATTGCATTACCTGTAAGTGACTATGACGGCCAACACAAACCTGCAAAGATATATAAATGGGAAATGTGTTTGCTTACGGTTCAAGACACCGATAAAGTGATCTTGAAACACATGTTTCTTCTTATTAAATAAATCAGTGACACATTTAAGCTGCTTATTTAATTCATCCACATCAGGACAATCGGTCTCTTCTTGAAGTAATGTCACATGGTGTTCTTGTTGCAGAATTTTCTGGTGTATCTCCTGAAGTTAAACAAAAAAAAAAAAGAACAATTGTTAAAAAGAAAAAATTTGAAGGGCAAGCCGAAGTTCACTGTACAGAGCTTCTTTAGTACAATCTAGATTTTTGCAAAAGGGTTTAGTCCTGCCTGTGGACCTGTTCTGGTTTTGGCTGAGATAATTTTCTTCATGTTAGCTTGTCTGTACAAGAAGCTGAGAGAAGAGACAGCCAGGGCAGCTGGCCCAAACTGACCAGAGGGATATTTCATGCCATAAGGCATCACGCTCAGTATATACTAAGGGCAGTTGGCCAGGGGGGATCGCTGCTTGGGGACACTCTATCAGTCACTGAGTGGTGAGCAATTGTGGTGAGCATCACTTGGTTTTGCATTTTTGGTTGGGTTTTTTTTCCCCTCTCCCTGTGCTACCCTACTAAACTATTTTTATCTCAACCCACAAGGTTTTTTTCACATTCTCTCCCCCATCCCATCTTGGGGGGGGAAGCGGGGGGCAAGCGAGCGGCTCTGTGGGGGTTAGCTGCCAGCTGAAGCTAACCACAACAGTGTCAAAGTAATTTCTTCAAGTATATTGGCATTAACAAGGCAATCAACAGGAAGATATAAGCACTAAACTATGCTTGAGCAGTGTGCATACAACTGTATGCATACATAACCACGTATACGTTCATTCGTGCACATTTTGGCATCACACAGAATAGATATGTGAAGAATACAGTAACATAGGATGTTCCAGAGCATACAGTACCTAGAAGCTAAGATGCCTTAGCTGTCATGGGCACTATCCCAGCCCTAAAGGTCTTACTCTGTATGTCAAGTCCCTGTGGGTTGAAAGGTAACGTAGAGGGACCTGGGAAAATTAGCTAAAAGCTCTATCTTTCTTCCACTGTCCCAAATACTAGTGGCCCAACACCTAGAATGTGCAGGATCCACTCACTGCTCAATGGGAGGTTTAAACCTTGCCAGCCTTGAACCTCCAAGCAGGAAGCTGCTCTTCCTTCACCTCTTGCCCTGGTGCTAAGAGGAAGGAAAGTTGGCTGAAACTGCCTACTGGGAGCTCCCCTTGCAGGCAGGCTCAGGTGACACAAAGACAACCTCTGTATTTTACCCAGTCTTGGAAAAGACACAGCTCAGTACCCCCACTACTGCTTCAACATATCTTGGATTAAACATATGCTGTTACGTGCCTACCACTAACCATTTCCAACAGCTGCAAGGGTTAACTAACTACATCTGATAATATCCAGTGAAAACAGGCTTTTCTTTCATGTTTCTGGCAGCTTAAGGAAATGTTCAAGCCAGACTCTTCCCTTGTGTGATTCCAGCAGTTTACAAACACACACAGGAGAAACAGTTATGAAGACTTGCCCGGGAGAGAAATAATCAATGAAATTATAAAAGATGTGCAATTTGTGGCATACTACCTCTAATTTAGTAAAGATCTCTAAGGTGTCAGAAGGAGATAAAGCTTTTAACAGTGATTCGGTCATTCCGATCTGCGTCTTGGCCAGATCAAGGTCTCCCTTTAGTTCTGCTGTATTCACACTGAGTTCACTCGTCCTCCGCTTTGTTGACAAGAGCTCTTTTATTAGCTCCATTTTCTGCACAACAGATGATCTGATGACCTTAAAATTGGAAATAAACATATGTAAGAAATTATACTGGATTGATTTCCTAGAATAATACAGAACTCCATGACAGACCTAAAAAGCAACGAAATTATCTGAATTCCAGACATTTTAATCACAGTTTGTTCCAGTTATGTTCCCTCCCACTCCACAAAATGAAAAATAATAGTATTTAAAGCCCTGCTTTTCTGAGGAGGAATGATCTCTTCATCTTTATTAGTGGTGTATTTAATGGTGCTGCTTTACTAACAAATTTATTTGTCAGTCTACTCCAGTGTCTACCCTCAGCTGGATAAAGGCCTTACATGCATTTCAGCTATGATGAAAAAGAGGGTAACAGCTCTTTCTGTAACACACCTCCCTGCAGTGATCCCACTGCGGCAAATTCCCCACATCGATCAAAAAACAGGCAAGGACAGCAAAGAGGTGGGGATCTCTGGCTTGAGACTAGTCACTACAGAGCAACAAGTCCTAACCTTATCCTTAAGGCTTCCACAGATTTGCAGGACACAGCAACTCAATGGGATCATGGTCACATGCTAAAACAGCAGCCCAGGGCATCTGGTACTCCCAAGGAGCAGAGTGTGCAAAGTGCAAGGTTGCCGAGTTCTTTCCTAAGCTCCTTAGATCACTTCACCCAGTGAAACTCCTCTGAGTTCACTGCCTGCTGAGGATCAACACACAAACAGCCAAACGGGGTCAAGCTCAAGGGGCATCTGACAGACACTGGAAGAGGATGCTTAGGGAACTGGTACAGGATCAAGGTAGGCCAGCGTGGTCTCAAACAGCAGAGAAGGATTTATTCTTTGCTGTGTGAAGTTAACACAAAAAGACAGACTTCTTTGCCATAACCCAAAGGAAAACATCACAGTAAACACCACTCTATGCAAATATTGACATGCTACCAAGCTACATTAAGCCCTATCCAGGCAATTGTACAGTTTAAAACAGACAATCGGTATGCTGAGTTGCTGGAATCCCCAAAAGGATGGTGAGGTCCACTGTGCCTCGTTCTTGGCCAAGAGCTAAAAGCCAGATATCACTGACATCGGCCCCTTCCTGAAGGCCTGCAAAACACTTGGGTCAGGTCTCAGTCCTTAAAAGGCAAAGGACGGAGAGAGGCCTTTGCCTTTAAAATTAAACGTTTGGTTCGAACAGCTTGAGAAAGACAACAAATGAAATGTCACTGCCAACAGCCAACAAAATACCTCTTTGGGTAGAATTAAGTCAAACCAAGAAATGATTGTGGCAAAGACAATAGCATAAGAAGGGCTGTAGTAAGGCATGTTAGCTGTAAAAGCTTCTTCGTACCTGTAGCTCCAGTGGAGGTTCATTACTGCTTAGAAGTTCTTCTATCTCAGCCACCGTGTTGTCAAATTTCTGGAGTTTCTGCTCTTGGACTCGTAAGCATGCCTAAAGTTAGAAAAAACATATTGGTAACTGCGTTTCCCCACAGATTAGATTTCCATGTTTCTGTTAGAAAACTATATTAGTAACATTCTGATTCCTGATTTTAGTAATTTAGACACTTTTTTGTATTATAGTCAGAAATACTCTCTTTCTCAGACAAAGCAGTTCTTAATTCAAATCTAGCATAAATTTAAAAATCTGAATTATTTTACTTCTATATTAACCCCAATAAATTTGCAGGAAAATAATCCTAATTTTGTACTTATTTCTTGCTGCTTCTATTAAAAAGGGACATTCTCAGGTGTTATAGACTTAAAGTCAATAATTGGCATCCTGATGATGCACTTTGGAAGGGATGTGATAAAATACAACACATGCTGTAAGCACTTTTGTAATGTAAATCCTCTGTATATGAAGAGACGTCTGCTCATTTGAATGGATTTTGGAACAAGCCAATAATGTGAAAATAAAATACCACCTTCAACTTACGGAACAGGACATATCTGAAATAACGTCACATTGCCTCATATTCCCAAATCAATATTCCAAACTCACTCAGGACAAAATATTCCTTTGCAGTCTCTGTACAAGCACTCATCAAAACCCATTCACGTGCTGCAGGCCTTGAAAGTTACCATTTGCACACTGATTAGAGGGGAAAGCAGAACTTCTCTCTCATTATTTATACTGATATTATCTTTAAATATACAGTCCAACAATTCATTACTCTGTTTGTGACAGGCTTCTTGAAAGCACAAGCATCGGTGCTCTGCTGGGCAGTCAAAGGACCCTGGGTTTCAACCCTACGTATCATGACACACAATGCAACAGTCAGGGGTTTATTTATAATTAACATTTATTTAGAGATGTTTCAGGATCAAAACGAAAAGAAATAAAATGATAGTGAACCTGATCCCCTCTGCACTTTACATCATTTTACAAAAATACCAATGCATTGAGTTAGTTTTCTCTCCTTCTACTCCACTTTTATAGTAGTTCATGGGAAACATGGTTTCTCTCTCCCCTGCCCCCTCCTCCCCTCTTTTTTGAGAATTATCCTCTCAGAGGGGAGCAGTGCAGTAACCTTAACAGAGCCAGCTCCAGTACAGCCCTTCCTCAGCACCAGTAGAGGCAGGCTGGGGGCATGGTCACATCGTGCTGGGCTTGAACAGTTTCCAGGTAACAAAAGGGCTCTTAAGATGCAGTTACCAGCTGGTGCATTTTTACTGGAGCCTTCAGGGACCTGAATTACCCCAGGTAAATTCTAACAATACAACAGTAAAGGCAATAACCACGTGACAAAACATCCACCTCTTCACAGACTGTATGCTACTGTTTCACTGGCAAGATCTATATACAATAACAACTTGGCTTCTTACTGCTCTGCAAATTAAAACAAACGAGCAGCACCAACAGCAGCAGTAATGCTACAAATAAGCATAATGAAAACTGGGACATTTGTAGCATGTAAACACTGAGAAAAAACTGCCTGCATATTTTCAAACAAGCAGATATTTATGTCTCAACCCCACTCAAGCAAGAAATTATTTTTGTTTAGTAGCTATATGCACAACAAAGCAGCACAGCTGGTTGATTACGGCCCTAAAGTCAGAAACAACAATATTTACCCCCAGATGTGAGGCTTTTCAATGGCACAGAGCTAGAGCCTGTGTTTTTACACCCAACTGCACCCTGATACCAAGAGTTAATGCTCTAACCTGTGCAAAAGGGGCATGGGCAGCCCAGGCTGTGATGTCTGCCTGCGTGCAGCCTCTGGAGAGCCTTAGCAGCCAGCCCTTACTAAGGCTGCTCAAAGTTACACTAGGGAACACACCGGGACAAAGATCTTATTTCTGAGGCTCCAGTATCTTCACTGATAAGCAGCTTCTAACTCAAAAACTAATCATTAGCCTATACACACTCTTCCTTTTCTTCTCTAGGCATGAGGATTTGTGTGCACCACTGCACTCCAGACTACGAGCTTTCCAGGCCTTCTCTTTGCTGTACATTTGTACAGCACAAAGGAACGAGGGGCCTTTTCCAGTATAAAGCAGCATTTGCAGTGCTGCATTAATTTAAAACAATTTAGTATACATATGCACTATCTATTCATTAGTTTCCAAGACCTGCAATAGATTATGCAGTATCTTCAGTGAAACTATCCGTGCAGACACAACTGCAAATGTTATAACTTCCTCTGTTTTTTGCAGTGCTGATATTTCTATGTGATGTAAATGCTTATAGTACAAAATCCCTAGCACTACAAAGCTAAGGGTAAAAAACAAACTCCATTCAAATTACCTTCAACTGAGTAAGGTCCTCTTCAGCCAGACAGTGGTCTTCTGCATTCTTAAGTTCTGCATTTGCCCAAGCATCGATCGTGCCAGATAAACTAAGAAGTTTGTCCCACAAAGCCTGAGCTCTTCCCAAATTATCACAGTAGTTTTCAGTCTTCTCGTTAATCTACCATGAGATTTTTATACAGAAAACACAAACAGATTTCAAAATCGTGGAGTTATGTTCCAAAAGCAAATGCAGCATAATAAAATCTGAGCGAGCTGAAACCACCCACAAAAACAAGTGCAGCAAGGGGAATAAAATCTCATGTGTCTTCACAGTGAACTGGTCATGGAGAAGATATTTAAATCCCTGACACACATGTCGCCAAACATACCAATCACAACAGCAGCTTGCCAGTTTTAAGGCAGGTTTAGGAAGGAGCCTTGCTCATTAAATGTTTATCTACTCTCAGTAAATACCATCTAATCTCAGAATTGATGCACTGCTTAGATCCGACAGTGGCAAACATTTCTCACCAAAAGCACCAGCATTGTAATTCTCCAGATTGTCTCCAAAGTCTAAATCCACAGAAGTTGTTATGGAAGCTCAGAGATTCATGCAGAAAGCAGAAATACTGCCTTTCTGTATTTCCTAGCAGGAACTGCTGTCAAGGAGTACCCACAATGTAAACTACCTGAGAGATCAGAAACATTATGCCTACAGACACCCTGCAAGCTTTGCTGTGGTAAACACGTGGATTTATCTCTTAAGAATCTTTGCCATACTGCATTTAATTTATTCCAAATATTACACGCGCGTCAGAATCAATTACTATAATGCATGACAGATAAGACCACCCTGATAATTTACTCTTTACATACATCCAGCCATCTGTCCACAATAATGTTAGCCTCATTCTCAAATGGAGGCTCCTCAAAGCTTCTCATTTTATTGAGCTGGAATTGAAGGTTTTTGCAGATCTGATTTATTCTGTCTACATCTTCAGAACGATCATTAAATTCCTCTTTTGCCTCTTCAATCTGTGAAAAATAACAAATGGATATTTACAAGCATGTTTATTTAAGACACTTTATTCAGCAAAATATTTTTCCATGATGTGCTGTTCTTTTTAGTTTAGAGAAACAACAGCATTACACAAAAGAATCTATTTTATATAATATGGTGAGACTAGGAATGTACCCTGTGTTGACATATCCCTGGCATGCTGATAGGAACACTTCTCTGTTAGAAATCCATATCATTCTGTTATTGGCTGCAAAACAGCTGATTGGGAACTATGGATAATGTATTTCTGACTGAGAGCCAAACCCAGTTTGCTTTTAAAGTCGTAATTGCAAGATCCAAGGGGACTGTACATCCATGCACAGTTACAGAAATAAACAATGCACAACGTAATAATTGTCTGAGATACTATCACAACCCTAAAAAACAGAAGCTGGCATTCTGATCCCCAGGTTTTTAACTGCTTTTTAAAAAAAAGCCTAAATCCTACTTAAACATATCCATTGTCAAATATGCCATTGCCAGAAACTGAAATGTCCCACTTTCCTACTTTCCATTTAATCAATAGACTGCTTCTTTGTGCTTAATTGTAATGTTTACAAACATGGGAGTTAGCTAGAAAAGAAACAGTGACCTCTAGTGTTAGGCAATTTGATATTAAAAGCTTGCCTTATTTCCCAGAGACAAGCATTGCCATCTTCTCCCATAGATACTGCCAGCCACTGGGATAAGTGTAGGGATGGCAGAGCAGCACTCACAAAGCAGAGCAAGGCAGAGAATCTTCTCTGCTATTAATTTATACGATTATAAATAACAAATCATCATCCCTCAAGGACAAGCCTTATACTGTGCCATAGCTGTCGCAGACAGCAATTCTGAGAGTGGGAGTTGCAAAACTCAATGTCAGGAGTCTCTGTACAAGCATGGGCCAGGGTACACAGGTGACCTCCCCTGCACCAGCAGCCTGAGTGACCTGAGGTGCCAGAGTTGTCTCCAGTGACACCAAGAGAAGACCCTGCCTCAGCTGAAGAGGGTGGCATGCAGGGACACCATCCCATCGCCTGAGAGAAGAAACCTCTTACTTTCCTTCTTAAATTTAACCATCCCAGGCACTGCCCAAGAGCAAATGTTCCTGAATAATGCCGGTGCTGCCTCATCAGAAAGCCTACAAATGGGATCAGAACAACTAGTTCTATAAGCCAGCAGGAAATGTAAAACCTGCACAGTACTATGCTCTTGTGAGACCCCACCCGGAGTGCTGCGTCCAGCTGTGGAGCCCGCATCAGAAGGATACAGACCGGGTGGAGCAACTCCAGAGGAGGCCACGAGTATGGCCAGAGGGCTGGAGCCCCTCTGCTATGGGGACAGGCTGAGAGAGTTGGGCTTGTTCAGCCGGGAGAAGAGAAGGCTCCAGGGAGACCTTATGAGCACCTTCAAGTACCTGAAGGGGCTACAAGGAAGCTGGGGGGGGCTTTTTACAAGGGGCTGTAGTGACAGGACAAGGGGGAACGGGGTTAAATTGAAAGAGGGGAGGGTTAGATTAGATATCAGGAAGAAGTTCTTTGCGGAGAGGGAGGTGAAGCACTGGAACAGGTTGCCCAGCGATGTTGTGGATGCCCCATCCCTGGAAGTGTTCAAGGCCAGGCTGGATGAGGCTTGGAGCAACCTGGTCTAGTGGAAGGGGGACCCGTCCATGGCAGGGGGGTTGGAACTAGATGATCTTTAAGGTGCCTTCCAACCCTAACCATTCTATGATTCTATGAAAATGGTCACGATGGACATGCTGCTGCTCGCTAAATCCATTACCCATGGACAACAATGTCCAGTGTTTGTATTCATTTAGCCAAGAAGAATGCAGCTGGTTGTCAAATTTTTGTCCAAAATAGTGGTAAATGAAATGAGGGTGTGTCCAGCAATACCCACTCATTCCTTCTCATCAGCTAATGTAAAAGCTATAGCAAAAGTTTCAGTGCTACCAAAGACAGCATGGAGCAAATGTCGGTTATGGGGGCAAAGGCTCTTACACAGAAGATTTGCCTTCTAAGTAGCTGGTAACTCAGGAGAAGCAAGAGGAGAAACATCAAACTATGTTGTTATGGCTTCTAACCACAACACAGTTTGGTCAGCAAAGTCAGTGTGAGGGCAGAGATTCATGCTGCAGATATAACCAGCTCAAGGAAATACTCTATCAGCAGCGCAGTCAAAGCCATTTTGGCTTCCAGAAGTCCACATCCCAAGGCAGCACCATGCTGGCAACCCCCAAGTTGTCTCTAAGCACAGTGGCAATGACACAGTGAGGTACACAAGCTCCAGCCTGGGAAGCAGGATAAATCTGTCATGGCTCAGTCCTTGGTCAGACATGCCATGCTGACACAGCCTTATAGCTCCTATTCCCAATCCTGCTTGCTTGGGGCTAGCTGCACGGTGCAGACAACGCCACAGCCCTGTCTGGGACCCAGTGACACAAGCAAGGACAGGATATGGATCTCCATTCTTGGTTACAAGCTACAGCCACAGCAGAGAAACAAGTACCCCAAGAAGCTGCATTACTTATTATTTTTGCTTTACATACATAAAGTACCTTTTTAGTAACAAATGAATTTACTAGTTTTCTATATTTACAAACTGCCCACTCTAAGATTTTAAACTCAGTACAGACACATGATAAAGGGTATAGATGAATATGGATGATTTCAATGTGGTTTTGGTAGGGCAGGATTTCATCTTACTTTGATCCTAGATATAGTTTTTCTATGGTTTGTTTGTTTTGTTAATCCCTCCCCTTTAACAAGACCTTGATTTGCTAAGCAAAGCTCAACATCAACTTAAAACAAAATCAGGGTATGGTCCCTAAAGGTATTTGGGAAGCCAAAGTGAAAACAAGGTCTTAGTATTTGCCCTGAAGGCTGGGTGTGCAAGGGCAACCCTACACTCAAACGTTCCCAGGAAAGGCTTTTCTTTCTTATTTGGTAAGTTCTTGTTACTCACCTTTGTTATTAGTCTGTTCAAATTCTCCTTTCCCATGTAAGAAATTTGCTGTGAAAGCACGATCTCCTGTTTCTGGATGATGCTGGTCAGACTAGTTTTGCAGCTTTGATATTGCTTCAGAAGCTCCAGAGCCCTTGCACACTGCTCCTGGCTAGTAGAAAGAGATGCATTATTTATGGCCTAGCATAAAACTGTGGCCTCAGTCTCTTGTCTGGCTTCCTTCTCCTGTATTCAAACGGGGAGAGTTTAACTACTATGTTTGGAAGAGAAAAAAGGGAGGGGATAAACTGTGCCAGCCACAAACCCTGCAATACCACATGATACCTGGTGTGGTATTCTGACAGTTTTTGGAATCAGAAATGCACTTCACCATCCTATGCCTCTGATTGTTATTAACCGTGATGTGACCTGAGCAGTTCAGGTTTATATGATACTCTCCACCTGAAAGGTGAGCTCAGACACCAGTAAACTGAAATACAGTGTGCAGCAAATATCACAACAGCTCAGGTAGAGGACAGTGAGAAATACCACCTCAGCCCAGCCTGCAGTGGGATATGAAACAGTTTATTCCCTCTGACACCTGCGCAGGCCAGGAGGATCAACCAGAACTATGCCAGCCTATGCAAATCATAAAGGCACCTTTAAATACCATAAGAGAAGGATGGACGCCCTGGGTCATCAATCACAGCCTTTCCCAGTCCTCACTCTCTCAGGCTTATCAGACGAGGTTCCTTTAGTCTTTTCCTGCATAAGTGACTCTGTTTCCCCAGCTGCTCTCTTCCAGTTGCTTCCGTTTGACTTTTCTTTTTGAATGTGCTGGCACGAAATGCACAGCAAATACAGAAGACACACCATTCCCAGCAGCGGACTGGCTTTTCTTTTGGATACCAATTAAGTCTGCTAAATGATGGGACTGTCATTTTAAATATATAAAATTCAGGAGCTCTGGCTGCAAACTTCATGTCCAGTTCTTGGCTGTATGAAAGCTTACAGCATCATAATAGTAACACTTGCTACTGTATCAGTATTTCATTTTTAAAGTACGGTTTAAGGCTTTTTTGGTGTTTCATTTTACAAGCAACTTCTTACTTGTACAGTTCTACTTTAAAAAGTAGCTTTTCTCCTTACCATTCAGCAAGCAAGAGTTTTGTATCCTCCCATAACCTCTCTGTAACTCTGCACCATTCATTTGCTTCCTCTGCCTTTTCCTCTTTGATCTGTGGGAGCTTATTAGTAATTTCTCGCAAAGGTTTCATTTCAACAGCAGCACAATCCAATTCCTTTTCCAATTCCGTTAATGATTTTACCCTTTATTAGAAAAAAAATTAAATACAGCCTTATATTAAAGTACATCTTTGATTTTTTTTCCCCCGATGTAATTATTAAGTTCCCTAAAAACCCATCCTGAGCTGCACATACTGACTATATTAAATTACATCATAAAAAGCCCAAGTTGCTCCTTAGTTCGTGTAATTTGACTCAGTCCTTCAGATGAGTTATGCTGACCTAAGCCCTATGAGAAAGTCATCCAAAATCCTAAAGGCCAATAGGGTCTGTAGGAACATAGTGGATTATTTTATATTAAAAGGTGCTTGCATTCTGGCTATCTTAAAATATGGTCTAAGAAAGGAAGCTATGCCATAGCACGCGATTTCACAACTTAAAAATGGGTCACAGCTTGTAACGGTCACCTCTCCACTCTTTTTCCATCCACATAAACAGTAGTGAATTGTTTACTCATCCTTTGCAAGGCTGCAGAGAGCTCCTCTGAAACAGTATTGGACACAGCCATGCCACGTTAGTGGCTTTCTTGCCGTGTGGTAAAATCACACAAGGCTTCTACACTGCAGAGTTTTAGATCACACCCATCAGTGCTCAGCTCAGAGGGAGACCCATCTCCCGCTGACCTTTCTCTTACTGAAAACTAAGATCATACCAGCCTCCTATTTTTATTTCATAAATGCACACATACATAGGAGTTTAAAAGAAAATAAAAGATGGAGAAGGCTTCCTTATTTAGGCTGTGACAGAACAAATAAAACGTAAGTTCACGGCTTCTCTCAGTGCTCCACAGATAACTTCAAGACCTGTTCAGGTTTCAGTGCTCTACTGTGAAGGGGCCACAGGCCCTCTGAGTTCACTGAAATTATGAAATTACAGGAGCTTTAGAAAAGAATTCACCTTTGTTGAATAGCTGGAATTGTTGCATCCTTCAAGCCTATTTTGTTGATTTTGTCCCGTAGATCCTGAATGTTTTTAAGGAGTTCACCGTTTTTTGTGGAAAAAACCTTGTATAAGTCTTTTTCTTCTGTAAGCGTCTCTGCATTCAAGGGATCATAAATCGCATTCAGGTCTTCAGATAAAGTCAGAACAAGGTTTTCACAGCAAGTCTTTCTCCCACATTCAGCATCTTCCAAACAGATATCAACTCTTTTCAAGCATTCGTCCAAACATTTAGCCTCTTCTGCCAGCTGAGAAACTTCCTGTGCAGCCTCTCTCAGTGCTTTTCCCTGTATTTCAAGTTGACCTGAGGGATCTGTGAGACATTTGATGGAAGACTGAATCTTCCTCAGTGAGGCCATAAAAGCTTCCAGATCTTTAAGGACTGTCTCACGGATCTGCATTTTATGGCTCATTTCCTCAAGCTGGTTTTGATAGTAAATCGTAATTTTACTTGCAGCTTGCAGATCTATTGGATTAAATTCATCTCTTGCTGAACTATCCAGGTGTTCCAATTGTTTGCACACTTCAATCTGATTTAATATGGACCTCTGTAGCTCCTGAAATCGAGAGAACGACCAACAGTGTTAGCAAGGGAAAGAAAAACTGTATCCTGCATTCAAACTGAACCTATGACTGAAAACCAAATTATACCTGCAATAACCTAAGTACGCTAAACATGGTGGTTAAGAAACAAAACCTCCTTTTTCCTACTCTGGGCTTTGGTGGAGGGAAGGAAAAAGAAGAAAAAAATCAAAATTATGTTACACACAGAAGGAATTCGGTTAGCATTATAGAAAGGCCAAGCCTCTTTCCAGCAATCAGGCAAAAAGGAGAGAAAGATGAGAGTCCTGGGACCAAAACCAGCAGGCTCTCGCCACGGGAGACCACACACAGCACAGGCAGGCACCTAGATGTTTGCTACTCTGCCACCTTAAGTCTGTTACGCTATACGTCTGGAGGAGACTTGTAAGCATTTAAAAATCTCTTGGTGAAATCTGCATGCTCTCTGGCTACAGCCCACAGACAAACGGCAGCATGTCAGTGCTGTGAAACTCCAACATGCAGAGAGCTGGGAAAAAAATGCAGGGCCCTTCCAGCCAAAGAGAGTCGCCTCAGACAGAGAGTGCACATGCTCTCTGCACTGCAGCTTGAGAGACCTAAACCCTACTTAGCTCAAGAGCCAAGGGCAGAAAAATGCAAACTTTCAGTTCTGTGTAGCAGTCAGTGTGGTCAGCTCAGAGTGTACGTCAAGACAAAAACAATATTCACCCTCCCTAACATACAGACCAGAGCCTAGGTGTAAAGTATTCAGAGCAGGTTAACAGGTCCAAAACCACCCAGGGGCACACTCAGATACCTCAGAAGATATGACACATGGCAGCTTAGCTGACAAATTAACACCACATCACGTGCATGACTCCACACAATGATATAATCAGGTGTGAACAGTATAAATCTGGATCAAAGGAAAGTCCTAACCTAAAATGATCTCGACTACACTTTTGACAGTGGAGCCTGTTGAGGGTCCCTGGTTGGCTCTACAGGAACATTTGAAGCAAAGGGAATAAAATGCTGTCACAGACTTCAGGCTTGGGAAGTCTTGGGAGCAGTCCCAAACCCCTGAGTGACAATCACATGAAGTTCTCTAGTTCCTAGACATACTAAAACCAATTCAGGCTAGGGTGTGGTCTCTGCATTTCCCTTACCTTTAGTTCCCTATAAGCAAGATCACTATTCATCAGATGAAACTGTTGGACGTCCTTTTTCTTCAGCCGCTCATCCAATTCACATAGAAGAATGGATTCATTTTCTATTGGCAAAACAATTTCCAAAGCAGTCCTTAAAGAGTTTGTTCTACAAGAAAGGTAACAAAACATGAAATGGGAAAGCAAGCAAGCAAAGAGACTCAGCATTTTACAGTGCAAAAAAGCCACAAAGATAATGTAATTGACTGTCTAACAGATCTAATTCTTTTCTTCCTCCTGAGGTCAAAGGAGTTTTTCCATTGATTAGTAAGAAAAGCAGTGTGAATCACTGTGAATTTAAGAAAAAGGTTGAAGGAAATAACAGTGAACTTGGGAATACTGCACAGTGATCTTACAAAAGATCTGGCTCTGTGGTTCTTGGAGAGATTCACACAATCTGCAATGTATGTATGAACAGGTATAACTAAGAAAAGCTTAATTTTATGCAGTTAAAAAAAGAAGGTTAAAAATGCCCAGGTATTTTCTGTAACACACACCATTCCCTTCACAATACAAACATTAGTTACAATGAACTATTCCTTGCTAATGTAATTGCTATTTTATACCTGGTACTTATAATATCCTGAAGCTCCTTCCATTCTCCTTTCAGTTTGCTTCTCGTCTCAGAGAGAGCAGCCTGCTGTACTGCATCCACAAGGTTTTCTAAGGTAGATGAGGTGTTTTCCAATTGTGTCCAACCAGAATTGGTTTCACTCTCTATCACCTAAAAGACAGGCAGCATTAATTGCATTAATATGATACTGTATTTCTCAGTGGACTAGACAGTTCATAAAAATAGAGTCAGAGGAGTCTCTGCAGAAAAAGCAAAAAAATCACCTAAAAGTATCTATTGCTTTCTTTTTCTTTAAGACTCCATTTTCAGATGCATGCAAATCTCTACTAACTTCTTATGATGAAAATTTCCATGTCGTATATATCCCTTGGCTACACTTTATAAAAGGCTCAGCAAATGCAGTTCTGCCATCTTTACTACAAGAACGAATGGAAAATATCTCAGCTTAGTTAGGTTCATATGAACAAAAAACGAAAGTAGAACTGAACCGAGTTCTGATATGCTAGATAACTTTTGGACTCCTTTCAAGCTAGGACTTGAAAAACTGCAGTAATAAATTCTCCAACATCAATTATGTGCCTTTTATCATCTCCTTAAGGTTCTCACAAACCTAATCAAGTTTTAAGTCCTGGAACAATTTCACTCTGCACATACACCACTGCCATTTGATGACTAAATGCTGACATATCCTCCAGCCTTGACCACAGCCCCCTATTTTTGTCCTGCTGACAAAAAAAGCTGCTTTTTTTTACTTACTTTTTCCATTAGAGCCATATCAACCTGCAGATCATAAACTGAGAGTTACCAACTTCTTACTTCAGCAACACTTGCAAAATTGCACTGCTAAGTAGGAATGCAGTTCTGCTGAGTGCTAAACCCTTGATTTCCCTTCTACTTCTAATAAACCTGGTTGCAAGGATGCTCCTTTTCCCTTGGTAATATACATAACAGAGGTGAGGGCTCTACATGAGAAAATAACAATTCAGACACCAAGTATGTTTTTAAAAGATTAATACTTACCTGTAGTTCAAGCAGCTTATTCTGAAGGCATGAAGTGCCTTTTATTTCATCAGTAAAGCCAGATGATACTTTATCTCTGCTGATTTGCAAAAGTTCCTCCAGGTTACTTCTTTGTGTGTCATAACTAAAAGAAAGATGCAATCACTTTCAGAGAGGATATTACTTCCAATTTAGTGGAAGATGCAGAGGCTGGGACTTGCTGACCAATAAGCTACCAAATAAAATAAGTACAGTATACTGCAAATGCGTATTTTTACCTAAGTCCCAAAAGAATGGGCATAAATGAGCAACATATAAAAGAGCTGAGAAATTGCTCACCTGGCTGATTTTCAAGTATGAATGCCTGCCTGCATTCTCTGAATTCAGTTTTATGAATGTAAAAATGTCAGTCCTTTAAAAACAATACTTTTTTTTTTTTTCATTTTGCAATATCTAAAGTTATTAGGAAGGCAAATACAGACCTTCCTGGCCCACGAAACAGCAGAAGAAAAAGGTTTCTGTGTGTTCTCGCTACAAAATCCTAATGTTGGAAGCTTTTAGCTGCTACAGTACTTCTTTATCAACTACAGAGCAATATTAAGTAAGCTGCAGAAGAAGAACAGAGTTCTGCAGAGCAAAAGTGCCCCCCATGTTCAATACACTTGATTAATTTATGAATGTCTAGCATAGCATCATCGCAGTATACATGCATTTTATCCTTTACAAATTACCTTTCTAATAAAGCTGGTACAGGTAAATCACCGTCTTCCTCAAATTTATTTGCATGGCTTTCTCCATTGTGATGTTTCACATCTGGTTCCAAAACTACATCTGCAGCAGGTCTTGAAGTCTAAGTAAAAATAAAAAAAGGTAACAATGACCTTATCATCATGCTGTGGCAATACATAGTGAAGACTAATAGACATCTCTGAACTGAAAGAAGCAATTGCTTCACATGTCCCAGAGGAGATGAGAGAGACCGTCCATGAATACAAGATGCTGCCCAGGGAGGTGGTGGAGTCACCATCCTTGGAGTAATTTGAGATGAGGTACACGAGGTGCTAAGGCACATGGTTTAGTGGTGGTATTAGCAGTGTTAGGTTACAGATGGACTTGATGTTAAAGGTCTTTTCCAACCTAAAAGATTCTATGATTCTAGGATGTGTTTAAACTCAATCATGAACCAAAGTGCAGATTTTTGAGCACTTGCAGCCAGGTCATTCATTCCTTCCACAGATACTGGGTCTTTGGCAAGCAAAATCCACTTGTGCAAATTTTTGCTGCAGCTCCTTGGATGTCCTTGGGCAACCACAGGCACTGTCTTCTGCAGCTTTTGTCAGGCTGCTTATACCAGATGCCTTTGCATGTCTCTCACTCTTGATTCCAGGATATACTCTACTCCTCAGTTGAAGGCTGGCTGATATTAGTTATACAATTGATGTTTTGATTATCCACGACAGAACAGATTTCATCATTTTGTTACTGACAGTATTAGTAGCCTTAGAAGAGATGTCCATTGATAATAGCCAATTCCTACGTAACATCAAACCACGTAAATGCAATGGATCCCTTCCTATAAATCTGCAGTCTGGAGGCTATCTGATGAGCTGCCTGCACCTTGACTTGCAGAAATGTTTATCCTAAATAACACATCTTCTGTGGCATGCAAGATGAACTGCAGTATCTTGCCTCCCTGCAATTATTTCTAAGAAGTCACAGGTGTGCTGGTTTTCCCCTGTATTTTTCTAAAGCAAATGTCTCCAATTCTTCATTATTTTTCCTCTCTGTGCCCTCTGAAAATTGTTCTAATTACTGGGACCCTTTGGGGTATTTGCACTTGAACAGTGCTTCACACATGACTCTTCCAGCTGAAACACACTCTTTGGCAAAATATAATGCAAGGTTGAAGACTCACATCTCCTTAAGGTGTCCAGTGCCATTCCCTGCATGTTACTTTTTAATATTTACTTAGTCTATGTTCCCTAGCGCGATGGGTTTTTGATGTCTGACCAGAGACCTCAGGTCCTACCCCAATGAGAATAGTAACATAAATAATCAGTTTTTCCTTTTGCCCTAGACAGAGCAGTTTTCTAACAGTAAGTACAGACTTCTTACCTCCGGTACTGAAAGGATATCAATTTCTTGAGAAGAACCAGGTTTTTCTCCATTCTCAGAAGCAACAGTGCTGCTCCTACAGGTTAAAGGAATTTCAGCTTAAGAACAAAATATGAAATACAAAAGGAAAAAAAGAAATCTTGCCTAATGATGGCTCTATGAATCTATAACACATCGTGCACTCAGCCACTCACTTTTTCTTAGATGACTGTCCTCTTCCAGCACGTGACAGCAGGGCCGTGTAAGTATCTGCCACACTTTGCTGAAGCTTTTCTAGCTTTTGTTCCCAGTCTGCAGTCAGTGTCTGTATGCCTGGAACAGCTGCTTCTGATAGTATTCCCAATATTTTAAGGTCTTCTAATGACTTGCTAAGCTCCCTCAGGCTGCCTTCATGTGAAAAAAAGGCCTAAACAAAGAAAAACCAATATAATAAACTCACGTTTAAACTCATGTTAAGTCATACGGATATGCAATTATTCTCACACATTTTTTCCTATTTCTATTGTCTTCCTGGATGAGCTCACTTAAAGCGTAAGCTGTCAAACCAGGAGAGAAACACATATTTTCCCTCGATTCTTTTTCAGATAGAGCCAGGAAAGAAATAAGGATTTCTGGCAGTGTGTTTCCCAGCTGCATTCACAAGCCTATACTGACTCTTGCTTGATTATGAAATTAATTATGTTACTATAATTGTAGGTACTTTTGGTCCCAAGTCCTCTTCACACTGACATGAGAAATACATGTCCCATGGACTACAAAAAAAAACTTGGAAAATTTATTTTAAATATTCCCCATTAATAACAATAATTCACCCTTTCTAGGGTGAATTCAAGATATACCAAAAACCTAAGAAAAGTATGAGCAGCAGGA